TCACTCCACTTCTGCCGTGCACTTTTCCATGCGGTTCCCCACTACCAGCACCGGCCGGCCGCTGTCTGTATATTGTGAATTTCTGCAGTCTTCACGTGGATGAAATTGGTTTAGGTTTGTTTCTAATTTCAGTAACAATGACAACAGTTAGTAAGAGAATTAGTAACTGATTTAAATTTTGATGCTGTTACACATCTATTAAATAATGACTTTCGACTTTTAACATACGATGATCAATTCCTGGGATATAAAAGAAATGACCCGTTCGGAGCCGCGCATGCAACATTTAATCGAAGCACGGAGCAATAATAACGTCAGCTCCGGTGCAATAGCATATTAATAATTAATAATTAATACAGCATGGTATGAAAATTATGAATGGCTGACGGGGAGCAAGTCAAAAAACAAACTATTTTGTTGATATTGTTTAATTTTTGAATATGATGTTGACAATAAATTCAAAAAAACTTCAGAAAAAGAGTTTTGCCTCTGGTCGTCTGGTACGATTGACATATTGAGTTACCGTGCTCTTTTGCCATCTTCCTAATTTCTCAACCCTGCTCCTGATGATGCTACTTACGAAAATGTAGAAGCCTCCGAAATTATTTCTGTCTTTAATTTTAATCATATACCTACCATCCACATCAGCATATGTTGAACGCAGTTTTTCAGCTTTAAAGCGAATTACAAATTTTACTAGAAACTCCATTAGTCAAAATCGATTATCCAAATTATTCGTTTTAGCAATAGAAAAAGAAGTGCTTACAAACTTAACGGAAGATCAAAAGTTCTATAATCAAGTAATTGACCACTTTGCCAATACAAAACAAAGACGCATTGAATTGGTTTATAAAAATTTCTAATTTACTTTTTTAATTTTGTTTTTTACTAATAAATAGTTGTTGACGTTTCATGTTATATTTTTTGTTAGAATGTGTTACTTTATAACTTGAATGTTATTTTCATTTTTATTTGAGTTTATTGTCGTTATTTTATTATTATAGATGGCTTATATTGTATAAGTATATGCTTTACTTTATACCTATTTGAAGAATATTTTTTATTTTGTTTTACCAAGTTGTTAGGACTATATGAATTAACACCATACAGGAAGCAAATTATAGATAATGACTGACTTGAGGTCCCTGGTTCTTGTATTCTATGTCTTAAAACTTTGGGTTACTCACTGCTGGCCGACCCAACCAAAATAGTCACGAGCCGCCACTGATACCAATTGACTTTCACTACATTATTTGACTGCAAAGAATTTTCTCTGTTCACAATGCATTTCCGAACGTCAGCAAAAAAAAATTGGTAATTGCCCCTATTGTTAACACATGTCTTTCTGTCATTATTAATAACAAATACAAAAAAAAAACAGGCCACAGACATATACATATAACCTAATGTGAACTAATATCACAGAACTAATATCACCCAAAAATTGATTATGATTGTTTGTTGTGATTAAAGTACGAAATCAACTGTCATATTTTGGGGATTTTCACGATCTAAACGTCACTGGTACCGCAAAATATTCGCGTTCTTTTTCTTTCCCAAGGGTTTCTGGATTTTTCGTTTCGCTCATGCGCAAGACGTTAGAAACGATGTACGTTACTTCGATGGATAGAGTTGTTTTTAATTTGCAATATTTCTTTAACAGAAGCTTTTTATATAGTTAAACCTTTAGTAACAGGAAGATAATTGTACAGTCTTTATCGCTTGTAGCATGAACTAGTTAAGATTTCTACCTATGCGGCGTATTTTGTCTGTAAAATCAAGCCCCCATAAGAAACCCATAGTAGAATTTTTGAATTATGAACTGCCGCGCATTCTAAATTCTAACCTTACTTTACTGGTCAATTGTCTTTATAAAATCAAAATTCGACGAATGAACTCTTCAAAACCTCGTCCCGTTTCAGGGACAATGGACAAAGAATTTTTATGACTTTGTTTGTGTCGTTGGGTCTTCCCTATATTACCCCACATGTTCTATTTATAATTTGCCAAGCAGGTACTTACAAAATAACATTTCAGGTGAAGAAGTTTACAGAAATAATTTTTAGAAATTATTACAATTAAAAAAACTTGTCTTTTGGTGTATTTCTAATAAAGCCGTTGTATTTTTCGCTCTGAATATAATTATTAATTAAGCATTACGAACTCACTGACGAAGGCCACTTTTTAAAGAATACGACGACCCACATCTAACTGACCATATAATCTTTAACAATAAATTTCGAATAATACCATAGTGGTTTTTTTAAATTTTGATAAGGTGTTGTAAAACTATATGTGAATCGCCATATCTGATATGTTTCGCTTTCTGTCTTCATTCCAGACACTGTATTTACGTGAGCAAAGGATGCCGTACGTGGGATTTTAGGGGCGGAAGCGTATACCTGCTTAAATACTGTAAATACAGTGGTGTCGAACGAAGACAAAAACAGAAACATACCCGATGTATTGGTATTATACATACACTCTATTACCGACATTAAAAAAAGTCTACACTATTTCGTCATATCTGCTGCTTTATTATCAGTTTTCAGTTAGCTACATATTGGATATGAAATGAAGTGAATTTTTTGAGAAAATAATAATTTAAAGATCAACCACGAAAATAATCAATTATAATTATTCATTATACATTAGCAGTTTATTTTAGAACCCAAGATTACATTGGAAAAATCTAAACTTTTGAAAATTTTATGTTAAACAGATATACCTATAACTGAGTACGAAGTCAAAATTAGATGATCAGTTATTGTTTCGTATTCAAATTATTATTTATTTTCCTTACGATCAAAATGAAGAAATTATTTAATTAATTTTTATTTTAGAACGATATCGCTGACCTTGAAATAGATTCGTTTTTTAACTTCGATTTTTTTCTTTGTGTTGCTTTTGTTGCCCATCAACATATTTTGCATTAGAATCAATGAAATGATGAAATATATGATTTTAGTTTTCGAGCTTATTTCAAAATTCTGTATATGTATAATTGTTCCTTTTCGGCAGTGACGCATAGGCAGAGGTTAAAAAATAATGTCTTATTACTAGTCTTAATGCGTGTTACCTGTTGGATGGAACATTTTTTAATTCTGATGATAAACTACCTATATGCATTAAGTCTGTTGTTCTGTTTTATAAAGCGCAGGTCGTTATGGACGTATAAAAATAAAATTATAAATAAATATAATTGCATGGAAATATAATACGAAAAAAAATATTAAAAGCAACTCACTATTACGTCATCTCACTTGTGCAAGATTTAAGACAGGGAAGAAATTTCTTTTTTTAAGACTCAGCATCTTTTGTTTATGAATATACTATTTACTTGCAACAAAAACATAAATAATAAATATAAAATAGAGCTATATAATACTCGATATGTATGTTTTTAAATGTTTTTTGGTGTTGCCTTGTCAGAAACGTTAATTTTCGATTTGACATGCCATTTTGTAAAATGAATGAAAAGCACTTTACATAATTAACGAATAAAAATAAAACATTCCGAAGCATGTATATATATTAATCAGATATCTAGTAACTACAGTTAACATTACTTATTGGTTACATAACCGTAGTACTCCATTGTGATGTTACAAAGCTTACCTACCAACTATATCGCTGCGACACAATAATGAGATATCTAGTAAATGCAGTTAACATTAGGTGTTAGTTACATGACAGGAGTACCACAGTGTGATGTTTAAACGCTTATATACAAGCTATATCGCTGCGACATAATAGTGAGATATCTAGGAAATGTAGTCAACATTATGTGTTGGTTACATAGCATGAGTACTCCATTATGATGTTATATAGCTTACGTTCCAGGTATATCGTTAAGACATAATCATGCGATGTACTCATTGTTCTCTTGTGACTACATACCTGTCACGTTAATGTCACAACTGTGTTTACTGGGCTAAATCTCAAGAGAATCACTGCCTACTCAAAAAGTACGATTCCCAATTTTTAATTTTTTAACACCGCATTGACTCGACTACAGATAATTTAAACTTTACGATTGCTTCTTGGGTACACGATTCTTGCGAAATTACGAGACAAGTTAGGTATAAATTAAGAGTTTAGTGTGAGGAGATTTTCTTCGAATTATCGTAGAGTTCGAACAATTCTGTTTTATTTGATCATATATTGTTCCATATTTATGTTCGACCTGCCTTTATACGTCACAAATTTTCTTATTTAATAAGTGGGCTTCACCATCCTTGATTTTATTAAAAGAAAAAAACATAGCTGATTCTCCGCATCACACACATTGTAACAACTGCGGACAATAAACTAAAACGTCTTTAATTAGAGATATTCACAAAACACCTTTCATTACCCCATATTACTTATCCATCACATTACTTAAATTAATTAAATATATCGATTTCACATGAGGTTACGACAACGCATGTTTAGTACTATTATCGCAATGAACATTATCGCAACTAGCAAGTCAAAGGTTTTGCCTTTTACGCCAGAATATGATGAAAAAAAGATTTTTGGGCCACTTTTCGTATTTGCAAGAATTTGCGCCATAAAGACACCTGACCTGTTCAAAGAAAACTCAGGCTCGTGTTGGTACCTACTGTATTCGGTTACAGTCTTGGCATTTACAGTAACACTATGTGCATGGTCTGTCATTAACAAATGTCTCGAGCGCAATAGTTACAGCTCCTTTTGCGTATTTCTGTTCGAAATAATTTCTGACTCTGTTTAGCGCATCAGTTATAATAAACTCGGCCTTTATAAAAAGGAACAAAATTAAAACTTTGTTGACGAACCTTTTGGAACTGGATTACCTAATGGGAACGGATGGTGCTAAACTCCTTAAACGGCGACAAAATATTTTAACATTTCAATTAGTAACTATCCATTTGTGTCTAATTTCTTCCTACGCTTACGACATCTTTTCAAATCTTATTTCTTTTGAAGCAGAAACCGTTTTGTTGAAAATTCCAGATTACATTAATGAGTACATCATGGCCATAGAAGTTTTATGCATTTGTAACTACACGTTGTCTATAAAATACAAATTCACAGCGTTAAACTCGTCGTTTGCTAGTTTTGTGAAAAACTTTTTGGATAACGCTTCTAAGAAGCAAAGATATTCTGCGACGCTTGTAGAACCACCGACACTGTTAGCGACGTATCTTGAAGCTCACAACAAACTGTGCAACATAATCGATCTACACAACGAATGTTTCGGACTTCAAATTTTTGAGATATTGTTTATTGGAGTTGTTCACACTACATACACCCTTTTTTTGCTTCTGATCTACGCAAGTGGTAAAGCAAAACCTACCAGCGATACTAGCGTTGTGTACATATTAATCGTTTACGTCTACTTCTGTTTAATTTTTACCGTAAGCATATGGTGTTACTACATATTTTCTTGGTAACGTAGTTTTTAAAATTTTTAGATATTTGGAATAATGGTGACAGTTTTTTGTACAACCGCAGCCCGTGCAGCTCGACGAACTGCAACGATCTGTTACAAGCTACTGCTAAACATTTCGTTAGAATCGAAATCTTGTTATGAACAGGCTTTAAGGAAGGAACTACTATTATTTGCTGAACAAGTCAATCAGCGTCAAGTTAAGTTTAGTGCTGGTGGATTTCTGACTATCGACTACAACACGTTGTATAATCTGTTTGGATCAACTGCAATGAATGTTATAATTTTGTTACAATTTCAAAAACAGGGTGCTGTAAATAATTAAGGGAAAAACCAGTACTACACTTACATTAGTTGTCACATACCATAACTAAATTTGACACGAGATAAATTCTAAATGTCCACACAGACTTTGATGTATACCTAACTGCGAATAAAAAATTAAATAAATAATTGCTAAATATTTTAATCTTAAGGTACGAGAAACAACAAAGTGAATGATAGCTGAGGAGAGCAGTACTTCACAGTGATAATTAAGCCATTATTTATTTTGTAATACTTACACCTTACAATATTATCACTCAATATAAAAAAAAATTACTCGTAATCGTAAAAATTTTTAGAAATCATGAACCTTATCTGAGAACTCTTTAAATTGTAAGTTTTATTTTTAAAACTAGAAGTAGTACTCTTTTTCTTTATTTTAAAACTAGACCTAAAACAATATCGTCAGAAAAAATGCCTTACGAGACATCCACTTGGTTTGTTTTCATAATTAAATTAGTTTTATCAGTACGTGTAGGTACTTTTAGTGATTGATTTAGTCTAAATAAGTTTTTTCAGACTGGAGATCCTATTGTAGAGCTTCCAAATGGAAAAATATTAGGACGCCTAGCAACAACCTATACTAACACACCCTTTTACCTTTTCCAGAAAATACCTTATGCAACTCCACCAGTTGATGCTCTTCGATTTAAGGTACTACGTCTCGACTGGTACTTGTAAAATTTTACCAATATTTCAGGCACCTCAACCACCTCAATCCTGGGTTGGTGTCCTTAACACAACCTATTTAGATGTAAGTTGTTATCAACAACAGGGTGATTTATCATCGGATTCTGAGGATTGTCTTTTCGTCAATGTCTATACACCAACGGTACGCACATTTTACACTTCCAGTGTTAAAGCCGATGATCTAGTTTTGTACAATTGATAGCTACCTACAAATAATGAAAATGCTTCCCTTCCTGTCATGCTCTTTATCCATGGTGGTGCATTCATTGTTGGTTGGAGCTTACACTACCCACCGGATCTTTTTATAGACAACGAAGTCATTTTGGTTACTATTAACTACAGACTAGGAGTTTTTGCTAAAATATTTGTTACCATTAAGTTAAATATTTACAAAAATGTTCTTTCAGGATTCTTGTCAACAGAAGATGATGTAATATCTGGAAATAATGGACTCAAAGACCAACGCTTAGCTGTACAGTGGATTCATGACAATATACATGTGTTTGGTGGTGATCTAGCAAGAATAACTATTTTTGGTGAAAGTGCAGGTTCAGCGTCTGTGGCATATCAGCTACTGAATCAGAATTCAGAAGGTGTTCAAATTATTATTTGTTTGAAAAAGTCAATATTTCGATATTCTCAGGACTGTTCAGAGCAGCAAGCGGGTCCTTTCTGTGTCCGTGGACCTATCAAAGAAATGCTCGAAATATTGCCTTCGAAACAGCTGCAGTTTTAAATTCAACTTTTTGTACCAGCGATGATTCCAGTGCACTGTTAGAATTTTTACAAGGAGTCAGTGCAGATGATCTAGATGCAGCTGGACAACAGTATATGGAAAGCGTAAGTACCCCATGGGACTACGATGTTTCCCAAGGGATCGTCTACGCACCTGTAATTGAGGTGAAAAATCCAGACGCTTTTATCACCAAGAAAATGTACGGACTACTGCAAGCAGGCAATATCTTAAAAGTTCCTGTTATAATGGGTATTAACTCTGAAGAAAATTTACTGTTTAATCAAGGTAGTACTCAAAATCTGATGCTAAGGGTCACGTAACCTAGTATACAATTTCAGACCCAGTCGTTCTACACTCAATTTTAGAAGCATGGGATAGTAACTTAGATTGGATAGTACCAAACGACATGCAAATTACGGATAGTCAACAACATGCAAAAATGGCAAAATCCATTCGAGATATTTACACAAATGGCGAACCTTTTGGCACACGCTTGGCAGATGGTGTTCGAGTATGGTTACTAATCCAATCAAACAACCCATCTAACACCATTTTTTAGTATTCCACCGACACTTCCTTCAGTAGACCAGTAACTAAGCATGCAGAACTAGCGTCCGCATTCACTGAAATTTATTTCTACCAGTTTTCCTACTTGGGCACATTTCCATCCACTATGATGGTGCTGAAAGTGTTGGTCATGCTAAAGAAATTCCATATATTTTTTGTACTAGTGTGCAAGGATGCAACATTAGCGAATTCACAGAAAGTGATACGGTTACATCTCAACGACTCATAACGCTTTGGACAAATTTTGCAAAATATCAGTAAGTAAAGCAACTTTTGCAGGCACTTTTAACTACTGATGAGTGTTTTTGCTTAGAAATCCGACTCCAGGTTTGTCAGAATTGTTCCAGAATATTACTTGGTCTCAACTTTCAGTCCAAGGTGGTGATTTTCTATTCCTCGATATTAACGAGCAACTGGAAATCAAAAACCATCTCAAAGCAGGAATCCTTCAGAAGTGGAACGATCTATATGAAAGTTTAAATTTTACAGATTTTGATACTTATTAACAACGCAATATTGAAATGAACTTTTTTTTCAATATATTGTTGGCGAAAAGGATAATACGAATTTATTTACAACGCAAAGGGAAAAATTGTCTAGAATCCCGATAGACCACTTTTATGAGTAACCTCGTTATTGCATATTCCTCTCGTGTAGGAATGGCATACTCTTTTGCCAAAAGTCCGAGCTCCGGGATCACTTTCTAGTTACTCAAGCATCAAAACCATCTACATCTGTCTGCCTCGACTATCCGCGGTAATGAAAATCCAAACCAATGAAATGCCTTCAATTCCCTTAGTTAAACTGCTTTATTTTCGCACAACGACGGTCACATTTGCCCAAGATAAGACTGACTTTGGCAAATGACATACCCTTAAGTAAATGAAGGGTGGGTGGGGGGGTAGGGTAGTATTTACTAAAATAAGACTGATTTTGGCAAATGGCATACCTTCTAAAACAGTAGAGGGTGATGCACAAGATAGTTTTCCTTTACCAAAAAGCTCCAAGGGATCGAATGGTACAAACGCAATATTTTATTAATCCAAATCCAAAATTCAACAACTTGTGACAGCAATGAATTATACACTACACAGTTAGTCCAGAAACAAGATTGGAAGAAAAAGAATGAAGTGATTCATGTAACTGGTTTTATATTCTTTGGTTCGTTTTCTTTTTTATTTATGTAACAAATTTAAACATACATCGAAAACAGGTAAGTCGTCATTAAAGTAAATACATAGTAATACTTCAATTATTACGATGATGTGGTGGTAAATTCAAGGACGTTGCACGAAAGCTAAATTGAAGTTCCTCATCGTAGTATGTCAAACTTCCTCGCTGATTTGACTCTGTTGCCAGGTATAACACACAAACCACATCCGTATGCCCAAAGAACCTGGCGCATATTACGCGTTTTATATCACGTCTTTGCAAAATATGACGTTACAATTGAAAATCCATTTGTGCAAATGACATGAAAAACCAGACAATTTTGACTTGAAATCGTGCTTTCCGCTTTTAGGACGATACCTGTATAAAATATAAGTGTTAGAGTATGCTCTATCAAAAATTTTAAACAACAGATGGATGCGCCAATTACTACACTAATTACGCTCGTTGATGGGGACAATGGCGTGGAAAGGGATTCATTTTTGTATAAACAATTGCCCTTTGGTGAAGTTTCAAATGAAACTCTACTACGTACCCTCTCTGGTTACAAGCACGTAGTTTTCATTAACACAGCTAAACAAATGAGACTAAGAAATGTTTTTAAAAATTACCTCCGTTGTCTTATGAAACTCTCTAAAACTAAAGAGTGTTTTTTTTTTCGATATTCTCTCAGCGGTTTCCCGGCTTCGTTTTTTTTTTAACGTGAAATTTAATTTTTCAAATAAGGACACCACACTTCTAAGGATCACAGATTATAAAAATGGAATTGTAATCTCCAAGCCATAGGAACGTTGTCGCGGAAACTAACAAGCGAAACGCCATTTCCTGGATAGGTATATTGTTACGTTTTTATAGAAAGTCTTAGGTCTTTGTTTTTTGTAAAAACTTTCCGTAAGCGGCTCATTTTACAAACTTGAACTCATGTAACAATAATGTATTTAAGCGTATTTTTTAATTAACCCTTCTGTACAACTTTTAAAAAATATTTTTTCTACCGCCCACGTTTTTTGGTTTTCTAATAGGGCTATTAACGCACGCAAATGACGTCACAGCAGTTCGTTAATACCGGAAAGGCGTTCTTTAATAGATCTGGTGTAATTTAGATCGGTAAGATTGGTAGCCATGACGAGAAATGTTAAGTGAATGTCAGTGGCAAATGTAAACTTAAAATTTCCCATGTTTCCGGATGCGTAACTTCTTCGCAATACATTTTAACCAATTTTAAATTACAAAAACTCGAATTGATTCGAATTACAGTTGTTGTTGTGAAAATTCGAACGTCAAATATTTCGTGGTTAGTGTCACACCAACCCATCACCAACCACGACAAAAGTCCCCAGATAAAAAAAAATGCAAATTTCAATTAAATTTTGGGAAAAAACGTGTGTGGTAGAAAAAATAGTATAAATAACTCGTTCATAAGGCCATTGAGGCACTCATCCTTTATATAACTCGCGGCTTCGCCGCTCGTTCTATAAACTTGGATTCGTGCCTCAATATTTGCCTTATGAAACTCGTTTTTTAATATACTATTGTCGCTTATGTATGGTGTTGTTTATATAGATATACATCATGTCTTTTGACATCTATCATTTTTATCCAACTTTTTTTTAACAATAGCATATACATTTTCTTTCCGATTTTTGTAGAGCTTGTTCTTCTAAATTTATTAATTTATTATACTTTAATTAACCATACCCCGCCATTTCGCGCATTATGTTACAGAAACACACTTGTTTATATTTCGCCTAGAGTGACCATAACACGAAACGGATTAACAATTGCTAAAAAAATATGAATGCCTTGATAAAAGTAGAGTCTACAGGCGCAGTTCTATAAAAATTTGTTAAATTTAAAGGGTCTTAAATTCCAAATTTCCATAGCAAAGAATTAAATTCGTAAATCTGGTAGCAGTAATAACATAAAAAACAGAAGATTCTATGCGACCTTCGAATCGTAAACGATTGTTACGTTACATGTTGAACCCAAACACTCCGTTCTGTCGAGAAATAAAAATTAAATCCAAGCTCCTAAACCATTAGTGCACAAAAGTGAACTTAATTATTAACATTACCCTAAAATAGGTGGCTTAAATGGATATTAGTTCTATTAGTTTCGACCACGAAAGGAAATTGAGAAACATTTAGATACTCCTGGAGTAATTAAGCAATCTGTGTGCATTATATTCTGTAATGTTTTAATTTTATATCTTGTTATTCCATGCAAAAGAAAAGATAAAATAGATATCAAATCTTTCGAGAATCACATTATCAGTAACGATTACTAGTCACTTTTAGAAATTATGAACATCGTCTTAGTAGTGCAAATTATTTGTGCAAAGTAAAACTAAAGGTGGCAACCATATTTCAGTACATTATAATAAACTGCTCCGACATTATCAGAAAGACATGTCTAACAAAACATTCCTTTATCTTCTTACCATATTTCAAATGGTTTTAGCTGTATGTGTAAGTATTTTTAGTGATTACCATTTTCCAAAGAATTATTTCAGATTGAAGATCCAGTTGTAGAGCTTCCAAATGGCAAAATATTAGGGCGCCAGGCAACAACTTATACCAACACACCCTATTACGCTTTCCAGAAAATACCTTACGCAGCTCCACCAGTTGGTGAACTTCGATTTAAGGTACTGAAATATTTAGTGGTATTTGATAGATGGTATACTATCCTCAAACATATTTGGCGTTTATGACTTCACACCAATTTGACTCCCATTATAATTCAATAGGCCGTCACAACCGGATGTCTTAAACCCGCTCACCGATACCTACCTGAAAAGACCTTTTCGACGTGCCAGGGACGGTCGAGACGCGAAGGACCGGACTCAGAGTAATTTTGTTTGTTAAAATTTTCAAATTTCAAAATTTCCTTACAGAACATGATTTATATTACTTTGAAGAAAATTACACAAAGACACAATTATTAGAAGTGTTACACACTCGAAAATTTGAGAAACAATATAAAATAGATGCTATGGCGCGAGATCGGGGATTTAGGGTGATTAGACTTCCGCCGTACCATTGTATATTTAACCCCATCGAACTAATCTGGTCGCAAATGAAAAATAATATAAGAAGGAATAATACGGCACCAAAATTTAGTAGTGCAACAATTGACATAATTAGGGAAGAAGCTTCCAAAATAACTGCCGAAATGTGGGCCAATTGTGTACGACATTCCACAAAAGAAGAAGACCGTACTGGTCTGGTACAGGGCACGGTTGATAACACCGTTAATTATTAATTTAGAAGAGTCGAGTAATGATGACAGTGCCTATTTCGATCAATAAATAAGCAGTAATAGTTAATAAGTAAATAGTTGTGCTGTAATAAAAAATGATTGAGGACAAAGTTACTTTGTTTTTACTTAAAATAAAAAACTCGAAAGGCGCAGTTGTCGGTAAATGCAAAACTCAGTCCTGCCCTGTGCTTTTACCAGAAAAGGTCTTTTCAGGTAAGTATCGGTGAGCGGATTTAAGACATCCGGTTGTGACGGCCTATTGAATTATAATGGAAGTCAAATTGGTGTGAAGTCATAAACGCCAAATATGTTTGAGGATAGTATATATATATTTCAGGCACCTCAACCCGCTGATCCTTGGGATGGTATCCTTAACACGACATATTTAGATGTGAGTTGTTATCAAGGCGGTTTAGAATCTGATTCGGAAGACTGCCTTTTTGTCAATGTTTATACACCAACGGTAAGTATATTCGTGGGCAATTTAAAAACCAATGGTTTCATTTTGTGCTACTTTATAGTTACCTGCAGATAATCAAAATGCCTCCCTTCCAGTCATGCTCTTTATACATGGTGGTGCATTCATTGAAGGCTGGAGTTTGGACTACCAACCTGATCTGTTTATAGACAATGAAGTAATTTTAGTTACCATCAACTATAGACTAGGAGTTTTTGGTAACCTGATTACTCCTGATACGTGAAAACATTTCAATAAATGCATTTTCTTAGGTTTTTTGTCAACAGGAGATGAAGTAGTACCTGGTAACAATGGACTCAAAGATCAACGTCTAGCTATACAATGGACTCATGAAAATGTACACTTGTTTGGTGGCGACCCAGAACAAATAACTATTTTTGGCGAAAGTGCAGGTTCAGCTTCTGTGGCGTATCAACTTCTAGATCAAAGTTCAGAAGGTATTCCACTTATAAATTGTTAAAAAGCCAAAATTATTTCAATATTTTCAGGATTGTTCAGAGCAGCAATTTTAGAAAGCGGTTCCTTTTTGTCCCCATGGGCCGACCAAAGAAATGCTCGAAGAATTGCCTTCGAAACAGCGGGAATACTTAACTCGACTTTTTCGACTAGTGAGGATTCGAATGCATTGCTAGAATTTTTACAGAGTGTTAGTGCTGATGATTTGGATGCAGCTGCCCAACAATATAGAGCAACCGTAAACGATTTTATTTTTCATATAAATGCACAAAATAACTGCATTTTTGATAGGTAAGTACTCCATGGGACAATGATGTTTCTCAAGGACTTGTCTATGCACCTGTAATTGAGGTGAAAAATCCAGACGCTTTTATTACCAAAAAAATGTACGGACTTCTGCAAGCAGGAAATATCTTAAAGGTACCTGTTATAATGGGTATTAACTCTGAAGAAAATTTACTCTTTAATCAAGGTTGTTCTTGAGATCTGATTTTAAGGACCACGTAACATGTGTACGTAATTACAGACCCAGTCGCTCTACAGTCAACGTTAGAAGCATGGGATAATAACTTAGATTTCATAGTACCAAACGACATGCAAATTACGGATAGTCAACAACATGCAGACATGGCAAAGTCCATACGCGATATTTATACAAATGGTGAACCCTTTGGCACACGCTTGGGAGATGGTGTTCGAGTATCGTTATTAAATTAATTTCAAAAACAACCCAAGTAACACTGTTTTTTTAGTATTCCACCGACAATACTTTCAGTAGACCAGTAACCAAACACGCCGAACTAGCATCCGCATTTACTGAAATTTATTTCTACCAGTTTTCTTACGATGGATTACCTGGGGGCATTTCCATCCACTATGACGGTGCTGAAAGTGTCGGTCATGCAGAAGAACTTTCATATCTTTTTTGTGTCAGTGCGATGGGGTGTAGTTTCAGCGATTTTACAGAGAGTGATACAGTTACGTCGCAACGACTTATCAAACTTTGGACAAATTTTGCTAAATATCAGTAAGTAATGCAAGTTTTGCCAGGACTTTGTCCTACTGAGAGCTTTTCTTTAGAAATCCAACTCCAGAGGTGTCTGAATTATTCCAGAATATTACTTGGTCCAAACTTTCCGTCGAAAATGGTGATTTCCTATATCTCGATATAAACGAGCAACTGGAAATCAAAAACCACATCAAGGCAGAAGTTATTCAGAAGTGGAATAATCTTTATGAAAGTTTAAATTTTACTGATTTTGATACATATTAATAATATAATTAATTTTGAGTTTAATTTTTTGTAGTGTTTTGTATTATTGTTGATATCAAATATGAACTTGTTTACCATGCACTGTTAGTATCAAAACTATCCTAGACTTAAACAGAATAAATTAGACATTAATTTTTATATCTTCACTTCTTAGAAGTTCAAAATGCCTATCATTCCTAAACCAACATAGAACATTGGAAATATTTAAAATTTGTTGGAACCTTGGCTTCTAAATAGCTTACTTTTTGGTGGGGAAGATTTGATTTCGTGCATTCAGAATCTTTTGTGCAAGTTCATATTTTGGCTCACTTTAACCCGTTCTTACAGGACATTAACTTGGGAAATCGTATATTTTAGAACTGTTCGTGGATGAGTTTCCTGAAATACTTCGGGCCAATGTCGCCATGATCGATCCCTCAGAAACTTTCAGGTGTGAGTTTCCTAGCTCATTTGTGTTCACTTCGGGCATGGTAGGTTAATCAGACTGTTCTGGACGGGTGGTTTTTTGCGCGAGTATCGACAGGTTTTTTTTGAGGTGAATTTTTGAGTCCAAATCGAATATAGCCGGTCCATCAAAACACGCCACGGGGTGGGTTTTCTGTCTTTTTTGTACAGATGCTCACTTTTTCAGACCACGTTTCTAAAACGACTGCTTTTTCCGTTTTTTTTTTGTGTAGGTACTGCTTCTTTGGCAGTTTTGTACATGTAACCACTTTTATTGATTGCTTTTCTGCGAGCAACTGCGTTTTTTGCCCCTTTTTGTGTATGTTCTCTTTTTTCTACATAGTTTGTATATGTGGGCACTTGTTTCGTCTGTTTTTCGGAAAGAAACTGCTATTTTGGGCAAACGACTGTTGTTTCCACTGCTTGTCTGGAAACGGCTGGTATTTTCAGCTGTTTTCACTTCCGGGGTCAACTGAGGTCAAAGTGAACAGGACCCCCACCATACAACTACTGAAGTAAATGGAATTATGTTGTACCATTGTAGCGCATGTACCGTTACTCTAGGTATCCAGATTTTGGCAAAAAATCCAAAACGTGTAACAACATTTTTTACCCACTGACAATGCGAAGGTTTGGTGGTTCTGTCCCTTCATTATTACCTGTTATTACAAGGAACGTATTATCTGAATCAAAGGCTGAACGCTGTGTTAATGAATAATTCTAAAACATTCAAACCATGGAACAAGAAGTTGACTAGAAACTTTTACTACCAAAGTAGTAATGCACAAAAACCTCAATAATATTAAACAAACTAAACGTAGAAACGAATATTCTTTTAAATTCCACTAAAAAGCGCATGCCAAAAGTATTCAGATGTTCCTGGAAGAACTTATTAAGCTACTTGTAGAACAAACAAGAGAAGCACTTTAAATCTTTGATAAACAATACTTATGTTTACTAACGTTTTATGTGCAAATACACTTTTCAAGTGTTAGATTTCATCACTATATCAGTAACGATAACTGGTCGTTTTTAGAAGTTATGAACATCAACGTCAAGTTGTTTGTGCAAAGCAAAACTAAAAGTAGTGAAAATTTGTTGTAATAAAATCTAGAACATCAATGAGTCTACATTTAATTCGATGAGCTTTATGCGATCGCTATATTTAATAACGATAACAAATAATAGCATTAACAGGAAAAGTAAAACCAGTAAACAGCCTCTCACTTTTCGACGTTTTTGGATCATTGGAAAAAAAGACAAGAAACCAAAAAACAAAACAAATGGCATTACATTCTGTTGACATGTTCTTTATAATACCACAACACAAAATAAACATTCTTGCTGAAAGATTCTCGTTTTACAAGAGATAAAGGAGGAAATGTCTTCATGACTTAATTATAAAGAAACACACCAAGGATGTTTCTTATTATATTAGTATATTATTATTTCCAACACAAATAGTACACAAACATATCAATGCTAAATATTTATTAAATGAATCAGTTGTGACAAAACCCACAAGGATCGATATCTCAAGTGAGGATGTGATGTACACTACTTATGTTCACAGAAATACTGTACATATGGCAGTTTGAGCCTGTATCCATGCTATTGATTTTGACACAGCGTAAAACTGAGATTGTACGCGATTTATGTGAGCATGACTAGTGCCAATGGGACACGTCTGGCCAGTTCTGGCAATGAGGTCGTTTTTCCGCCATTAAGGTGGCGCCTTCTACAGGGGTGGTTTGTTCGGGCGTCAGCTCCCTCTATGGAGAGAGAGTACTGTGGTACTCAAAGCCGGAGAAACGCTTCTCCAGAAGTCCCATGAGCGACAGCGACATAAATGAATAATACTCGGGTTAATTGTTAAAAAATGTACGGCCTTTATTCATCATCAAGCCATAACGGCTAAAATATCGAATAAAACATCTAACAGAACAAACATGAATAAAATTAATCACGGTCGTCCTACGGTCTCCCTGACAGCGGCTCCTTACTGAACAGGGCTGCTTTAGATACTGGATAGACGGCGACGCTGAAACGGGGACCTGACAGAATCGGAATAAATATTTTCTTTTTAATTTACTTCAGCGGTACTAAATATTGAATATAATAATTTACTTGATAAGAGCACTCAAATTGAAGTGTGGCGATAATGAATTCTCTCATATTCTTCATAAATACACATTTTGCATGTCTGTGTTTACTTATACTCTTGTAAGGATAAAGTCACTTACAGATCTCAAGCACATAGATATAGATCCCTGTTAAATATTCGATTTCACAAAGTTTCATAATAATCATAGGATTTTAAGATATAGCAGAATAAAGTGAGTGATTTAACACAGTGAAAGAACTTTTGTGTCAAACAGTTCGCTCTATATGTTAATAAGTTGAATTCCTCTTGATTACGTGTTTTGGTGGACCTCTTTCCCCTCTTTGAAATTATTTGTTCTTCGCCTTACTTGTCGAAGTTCGGTTATGAAAGAAAATATACGTACGTATTTCTGGGAAGGGAAAGACGGTCTTCAATTATTTATCTCCTAAAAAAGGACTATGTATAAAGTAGGTACTCATAGATTTTAGAAAAGTTAGAAATGTTGGTTATCCACGCGTAATTCTTGACATCCGACTTTTTTTTTAGCATTAGACAATTAGACATACTGGATCATTTCCATAGAGCTGAGAAACGCAATAATTTAATATTCCATTAAAAATTATTCTTAGCGGGTATGATAAAACGGACTTACAATCGTAGAGAATGAAGGAAATCTGCTTAGACATTGATTTCAATACTTCTTCTTCACTTATGTGACCCCTAACATATAATTCTTTAGTATTCAGACAATAATTAACTGACCTAACATTTACATTAGATATGGAAAAGGATTTTTAAAAATGGGAGGCAAAAGTGTCGACAATTTTTATGGATCAGAAATGAGCTGTATCTTGTAACTCATAACACTAGGAACGAACGTAATGCTATTCAAAGTGTTTATGTGTGCTTAAAAATGTTTAGGATTAATCTTAAGGTATTGGTTTGCATTACTCACATAAGTTTTATATGCTGTTTGTATTTTACTCTTAAGCATAAATCGCAGTCTTTTAGAGACTTGCTAATCCATAGAAGTACCAGTCTTTTTAAATTTTAACCAAGCTTTATATTTTTCGTTAGTAAACATTATAATGTTCTTGGTGAGTTATCTCTGATATGAGCTAAGAGTTGTTCCTTAAGAAGAGAATATGTTTATTAAATATTTCATAAATTTACCAGCAACAGCAGCATCGACGTTATCGAAATTGTATAAGTAAGACCAGTTTACACTAGATAATTCACTATATATCTGGAAAAACAGCTTTCCTGAAATTTTAACCACACAAATTAGACACAGAGAATGTAGTCCTTCACAAAGAAGAAGACCACTAGCTTTGGCTAGCGTATAAAACAAGATCTAAGCTTCTCCCTACGGAATTAGTCAGTGGACTAAATTGAGAGTCAAAAAAGTGAATGAAAGATTCAAAGGAGGTGAAGACAAATGAACTCCCCATTTGACAAGGCCATTTAACCAATTAAGCGATATTAAATTCATTCAGAATAAGAACATCACATCAACATGTTTAAAATACATATGTAATACTAATAAGATTAACCTCATTGTCACTGGCCTAAGATTTAAATTGTTTGTTTCTAATACAGTCCTTCACAAATTGCATTATTTGCCGAAAATTAAAAATTGCCTAAATTGATGCTTCCAATTATTTCTCAAATTAATGCACTTACGAGCTTTTAGAATGGTTAACGAAAGAATTTAATCACTTGTCAGTGAAGCGATCCAATTTTTCTGTTAAAAGTGTCTTGGATTTCATTACATATTTTATTCACAATCGGTTAGTAATGTGTTACTTTAAAATTCGTAAAAGTTTGGAAGTGGGCTATTACATACTTTATTTCCATTTCAAGGATGGAAAGTAACATATATCACTTATCTGTTACTTACCACCTTTGAGATGGAAGTGAATGTCACTTTCAATCCTAAAACGTAAAAATTGCAATGCTTGTCAAGTTGTAAATGTCAGAGTCGCCGCCTCCCCAGGATCTGAAAAAGTCCCGTCTAACGAGAAGTCGCTGACAAGAAGATCCAAGAACGCTCTTGACCGCATTGTTTTTTTTTTTTTGTTTGGGTACTGTTACAACCCAAAATACGGGCTGCACTCGACCTACGCTATTTTTCCTACGCGGGCGGCTTACCAATGCTAAGTGTTCCGTATTCACCTGGGGTCGGGAGGAAGTAAAGAAAGCTTAAAATTAACAGTTTAATTATCTAGGTTCTAGGTTAATTAACATTAGATATTAAGGAAATATACTAAAGAGTGTGTTGAGAATATCACTTCCTCAAGCAATACGACCTACTTGCTAATTACAAGATTATCACTTATCTGACGTCCGATCGTCCGCAGGATGAGGTCTTCTTTGGTGAACCAAGATTTCTTATCGCGCCTATTGTTTAATTCACTCCAGTAGGAAAGTATGGTCTGAATCTATGCTCCGCTGCTCGCACTGGTTTTGGTATTCGGCCTGATGGTATGGCCGATTACAAAATGGCCGTCGCCGCCATCTTGGTGAAGTGATTACCAGGAACTCTCCAGCCTTATTCCCGAAGGTGAAATACTCCGTAGTGTTGCCGTTACGGAAGGGAGAATACTTTGCTCTGCTTTTTCGTCGAAATCCTCCGGAAAGGAACCCTGGTCCCCTCCTGTAAGAAACTTTAGCTTCCGATCCCTGACCTTCGTTTTTACTTACGCTTAATTGGTGTTATGCCGATTCTACTTTAATCCGTCGCCTTCGACGCTGGTTCCGAAATTGAACCTACAGCTACTTCGCCACTTATCGGTCACTCTGGACCCTGATTTTACCCAAACTCACAGGGAATTATCGCGGGCGAACGCTGCTAAGAATCGACGTGTACTCGCTCGGAGTGTCGAAGGGAGAAAGGGATCGACGAGTCCTCCGAATCGAAGAAATTATCGACGCGCTTAAAGACATGCGTGGTACGCGCTAAAATACTCGCATCGTTTACAGGGTCGCGTTAATACAGGTGGTATGTGAACATATATTAAAATATGTTACAGTACCTACTGTTTTATTTGATAATTTCTTATTTTAAGCGTTATAACATAGTAAGGAATAAGACTGCACGTTTGTAAACTTGAAGCGGAGTTATTTCTGTGGCAGCCGCTCACGAGACCTCTGGAGAACCGTTTTTCCAGTTTGGAGTACCCCCGTGACGCAAAAGCGACCTCATCGCCAAGACGGGCCATTTAGTTTTCTGAAATAGAATATATTTGTCGATCTATACTTTTTATAGATATACAAACACGTTTAACAAAAAGAACAGCGAAGTAAATGTTTAAAACAATATTTTCAAAACGTTTAAACGAAAGACGAAATAAAACGTCGAATAGAAGCTGCTTCTTGAGAGGAATATTTTCTTAGGTTCCTCAAGGAAAGGAAAATGAGAAGCATCGAGATGGTCCTAGAATAGAGGAAGTATGTAATCTCTGGAAACAATATAAACACTCGAAAATTGAAAATGTGCTTTATAATGTTTGATACTTGAGAGCATTATCATTCTATATAAAAATAAGACAACAGGTAGTCAGTTTTTAAAATTGTGAACATTATAGAAGAAGAATTAGTTATAGATAATATTAAGATAATTGTCTTACAACAGAAAAAATGTACAAAACAGTTGTGTTTCTTGTTACTATTATTAAAGTGGTTTCATCTGTACGTGTAAGTTCTTCTCTTATCAACACATTTGAATGAAATTATTTCAGGTTGAAGATCCGATAGTAGAACTTCCAAAGGGCAAAATATTAGGACGCCAGGCGACAACTTTTGCTAACACACCTTTTTACGTTTTTCAGAAAATACCTTACGCAACTCCACCAGTTGGTGCACTTCGATTTAAGGTACTACATTTCTAGTAGGATTGCCATTTTTTTCAGTAATTCAGAATTACCAACACAAAAATTTGGTTCAATTATTTATTAATAGCGGCCCGTATTTCAGGCACCCCAACCTGCTGAACCTTGGGAAGGCGTTCTTAACACAACGTATTTAGATGTGAGTTGTTATCAACAAATAGGAGATTTCGAATCTGAGTCCGAAGATTGCCTTTTCGTCAATGTTTATACTCCAACGGTACGCATATTCTAGAATTTCACTATTTTTTCAATTCTATAGAAATCATTTTATAGCTACCTGTAGACAATGAAAATGTCTCTCTTCCTGTCATGTTCTTCGTACATGGTGGTGCATTCGTGAGTGGCTGGAGCATGTACTACCCGCCTGATCTCTTCATAGATAATGAAGTCATTTTAGTTACTATCAACTACAGACTAGGAGTTTTTGGTAACCTGTTTACTCTACCCATAAGTCAAAACATGTCTAAAAATGATTTTTTAGGCTTTTTATCAACAGGAGATGAAGTAATACCTGGAAATAATGGATTCAAAGACCAACGACTAGCCATACAATGGACCCACGACAATATACATTTGTTTGGTGGTGACCCAGAAAAAATTACTATTTTTGGCGAAAGTGCGGGATCAGTTTCCATTTCCTATCAGCTACTAAATTTAGATTCCGATGGTATTACTTGTAAATTGTTCAAAGCAATCACAATTCCAAAATTTTCAGGACTGTTCAGAGCGGCAATTTTACAAAGCGGTTCGTTTTTGTGTCCATGGTCTTACCAAAGAAACCCTAGAAGAATTGCCTTCGAAACAGCAGCAGTTCTAAATTCGACCTTCTCTAGTAGCGACGATTCGAATGCCCTGTTAGAATTTTTACAAAGTGTTAGCGCACATGATTTAGATGCAGCTGCGGAACAGTATTTGGAAAGCGTAAATGACTATAGTTTGAAAAATTAACAAAATAACTGAATTTTTTTAACAGATTAGTAACCCATGGGACGATAATTCTCCTAAAGGCATCAGCTACGGAGCTGTAACTGAAGTGAAAAATCCGGACGCTTTCATCACTAAGAAAATGTATGGGTTACTTCAAGCAGGGACTATTTTGAGGGTACCTGTCGTTATGGGTCTTAATTCCGAAGAAAATTTACTCTATAATCAAGGTAGTGAAAACATTCTGTGCAGGAAAATAAAACGACTATTGTGTTAATTTCAGACCCAGTTGCTCTGGAAGCAGTTCTAGAAGTATGGGACGACAATTTAGGTTTGCTTGTACCCGAGGACATGCAGATTACGGATAGCGACGAACTTCCCAGTAAACACAGTTGTGATATTGACGTGACAGGTACGTACTCACAAAAGAACAATAAGTACATCGCATGATTATGTCTTAACGATATACCTGGAACGTAAGCTATATAACATCACAATGGAGCACTCATGCTATGTAACAAACACGTAATGTTGACTACATTTACTAGATATCTCATTATTATGTCGCAGCGATATAGCTTGCGTGTAAGCATTTAAACATCACACTGTGGTACTCCTGTTATGTAACTAACACCTAGTGTTATAGTGAACCAAGAGGTATAAGGTTATATGGCCATCATAAAATTAGTTGACCGCAAATAAATACCCCATTTGTGTGGTTCGCACTAAGCTTACCGGTTGGCAATAAATCATCTTCTAAACATTTCTTGCTCATATTTAACAGGGCCGGCTTTCAAAGCGAGTGGTTATTTCGGAACCCTCAGCGGCTGCAGGTAGCAAAGAAATAGTGGAGTGGTGGATTTTCATATTTAGTGAAAGCCGCCCCTGAACGAAACCGCAAGAGCCGGTCGAGCTGTAGTGGACTCGTTATTTACGACTCTAAAACCTTTTCTATTGTAAACAACTTAACTTCGACACAATGGGATAATTTTATGATGGCCATATAACCTTATAGCTCTTGGTTCACTATAACTGCATTTACTAGATATCTCATTATTGTGTCGCAGCGATATAGGTGGCAGGTATGCATTGTAACATCACAATGGAGTACTACGGTTATGTAACCAATAAATAATGTTAACTGTAGTTACTAGATATCTGATTAATATATATATACATGCTTCGGAATGTTTTATTTTTATTAGTTAATTATGCAAAGTGTTTTTCAGTTGATTTTACAAAATGGCATGTTAAATCGAAAATTAACGTTTCTGACAGGGCAACAGCAAAAAACATTTAAAAACACAAATATCGAGTATTATATAGCTCTATTTTATATTTATTATTTATGTTTGTGTTGCAAGTAAATAGTATATTCATAAACAAAAGATGCTGAGTCTTAAAAAAAGAAATTTCTTCTCTGTCTTAAATCTTGCACAAGCGACATGACGTCAATAGTGAGTTGCTCTTAATTTTTTTTTTTTTCATATTATATTTCCTGTAATTATATTTATTTATAATTTTATTTTTATATGTCCATAACGACCTGCGCTTTATAAAACAGAACAAGAGACTTAATGCACATAGTTTATGATCAGAATTAAAAAATGTCCCATCTACCAGGTAATACGAATTAAGACTAGTAATGGGACATTATTTTTTAACCTCTGCGTATGCGTCACTGCCAAAAAGGAACAGTTATACATATACAGAATTTTGAAATGAGCTCGAAAAATAAAATGATATATTTCATTATTTTATTAATTCTAATGCGAAATATGTTGATCGGCAACAAAAGCAACAAAAAGAAAAAAATCGAAATTAAAAAACTAATCTATTTCAAGGTCAGCGATATCGTTCTTAAATAAAAATGAATTAAATAATTTCTTCACTTTGATCGTAAGGAAAATAAATAATAATTTGAATACGAAACAATAATTGATCATCGAGTTTTGTGTATTGACTTTCGCACTCAGTTATAGGTATATCTGTTTAGCATTACATTGGAAAAATCTAAACTTTTGAAAATTTAATCTTGGGCTCTAAAATAAACTGGTAATGTATAATGTATAATTAATTGAGTATTTTCATCGTTGATCTTTAAATTATTATTTATTCAAAAAATTCACTTAATTTCATATCCAATATGTAACTAACTGAAAACTGATAATAAAGCAGCAGATATGACGAAATAGTGTAGACTTTTTTTAATGTCGGTAATAGAGTGTATGTATAATAACTAGAGAGCGGAAAATATGCAGCAAAATTTTGGGAAATATGATCATATAACATGCATCAAATTTATGCAAATATGCAATAACTTTCTTAATATATGCAGAGATATGCAGTTGTACATGCTCCAAAAATTAAAAAAAGCGTAATAACCGAACTAAATTTATTTACAAATTGCAAAAACACCTTAGCTTTTATTACAAAAAAATACATAAATCATATTGCAAAATGTTTAATTAGATCTCACTGACAAATAAATGACATTTTTTAAGATCATATTCTTATACTCAAAAATAAATATAGGTAAACAGAACGAATTAAAAAATAGTAGTAATCGACTATTTAATTACTATTTTGGTAACAATATATTTTTAAATATTTTGCGAAATATTCTAACAAAAATTTTTCCGGTGATTCTAAAGTATGTATTTGTAAATAGAAAAACTGCGTACTTCGTCCACAGATGTAAAAATACTTATCGGATTAGAGCAGGCACAACAAAACACAGTTCCTTCTTGAAGACTAAGTTCGGGAAAAGGTTTAATTCATAAATTAATTTGAGTTATCTACATATTGACACACATCTCTATCGCTTTAAATACTTAAATGCAAACTCACGATGAAAAATAATAGGATAACGTCCCTTCGACCACCATAAAATATATCATTAATACACTTAAGTAACGAACAAAAATATTGAAATGAATGGTATTTCCAAAAGTAATTAGGAGCCAAATTTACCTGGAAGGATGGCTTAACACCCAAACTACTATAAAACCCAAACCTTTCCCAGTTATTTGAAGCTCAGGACAATATTTTCAATATGATTCATGAAATTTCGTTTTTCTAGAAAAATGCCGATCGAATGGCATTTTTTTTTTCAAAGTGGCACAAAAATTGATAAAAATGCAAAATATGCACCCGTTACGTGAAATATGCAGCAGAAGGCAAATATATGCAAATATGCAATTTTTTTTTTATAGCTGTATTCATTTTTAATTAGCATGATTCGTTCACATATTAATAGAGAGCGGATTTCTGTCGGGCTAGACAAGGCCAAACTCGGGACGGCTCGTACGGGATGGGAATTCATTGCAGTTACCGGCTGCATTTCGTTTATTTGAGATTAGAATAACGCTGCTTCGTTGCACTCTGCTGTTAATTCCAGTTCTCATTTACTTAGCCGTTTGATTAATAAATCGTTAATTGTATTTATGGAATAAAGTGACAATTAAATTCAGTGATTACCTATCACCCGCTACTGAGTCCCGGCGATGCAGCGCGTCCCCACCTATAATCGTGACGTAGCTCGACAGAAATCCGCTGTCTACATATTAAATATCAAGACTTATATACAAAAAATAACGGATATGCAAATTTCATAAAATCCGCTCTCTAATAATAACCAATACATCGGGTATGTTTCTGTTGTTGTCTTCGTTCGACACCACTGTATTTACAGTATTTAAGCAGGTATACGTTTCCGCCCCTAAAATCTCACGTACGGCATCCTTTGCCCACGTAAATACAGTACCTGGAATGAAAACAGAAGCAGAAATAGTTTTACAACACCTTATCAAAATTTAAATAAACACTATGGTATTATTTGAAATTTATTGTCAAAGATTATATGGTCAATTAGATGTGGGTCGTCGTACTCTTTAAAAAGTGACCTTCGTCAGTGAGTTCGTAATGCTTAATTAATAATTATATTCAGAGCGAAAAATACAACGGCTTTATTAGAAATACACCACAGACAAGTTTTTTTCATTGTAATAATTTCTAAGAATTATTTCTGTAAACTTGTTCACTTGAAATGTTATTTTGTAAGTACCTGCTTGGCAAATTATAAATAGAACATCTGTAAGGTGACCAGATTTCAAAAGTCCGAAATCGGAACATTAGTTTCCATTTCCATCGTAATCTGATATATAACTGCTTTAAAAATTTTTAGGTGTAATATACTAACAGTACTGACATCTGCTGACATTTAAAACTGTGCTGACAACCGTATCGATACAAGTTTTGTTCGCAATTTTTCACAAAATAAAATTACTATTCATGAAAATTAGTGATTTATCCGAAGATTTATCTTTATTCTTATCAGATTTATAGAAATCGGAACATTCACGGAATGAATGTTTTAATCGGAACATTTATTGGACGAAATTTGAAATCGGAATTATTGGAATATTGAAATCGGTACAGTTCCGATCAAATGGGAACGTCTGGTCACCTTAAACATCTGGGGTAATATAGGGAAGACCCAACGACACAAACAAAGCCATACAAATTCTTTGCCCATTGTCCCTGAAACGGGACAAGGTTTTGAAGAGTTCATTCGTCGAATTTTGATTTTATAAAGACGTTTATAAAGCGATATGGGTAGCAAAAAAACTAGAGAGTGGTTAATTTTGAATATTAAATTTATTTTATCTAATGAAAAAATAACGCTCAACTTCTGCATTTACTATCCACCAGATGTTTGGGGGGTGCAGTCGGACCTTTGTTGGTTTGGTTTGTCTATGAGTCGGACGATCCCTTTTTTCCGTATTTATGGTTATTGCACTTCACACTCACAGTGAAGCTGTCGAATTCCGTTTAGCCATTTGGTTCACAACCACCGAACCTTTCTCGTGAATCCGTAACTCACTTCATTTTTAATGCAGTTTTGTGAAATTGTGCCATTCAGTGTGGGTTGAATTTACACTAGGTAAGTTAATATAATTCTAATGAAGTAATCATTTTAATTTTTACATGCTTCTGTTGTTTTTGATAACTGTACGTAAATAACAACAACAGTTTTTTCAGACAAGCTGGAAATACCACCACATTAATCACTGACGATACTCCCGCTGATTTTGATGAACTTACGGTGATTGTTTTTGAAAGTGAGGCGCTTTGCCATAACATGTTGCAAAGGTATGTTACTGCAATTTTTTATGAACTAGGTGCTAATGAACATAATTTTACTCTAGACTCGAAACAAATACAAAAAATATGTGCGAAACAAAAGAAATTCTAAAGGCAACGAGTGAACAAATCTCCAATATGAAAACGTCATCAAATGTGACAAATCAAAAAGAAAACAGTAATAGAAGATATGCCGCCAAGACCATAGGTAAACAAATTTTGAGGAATTGGAAGATTATCTCTGCCTACTACAACAAGCAGGTTTCTTTGTAAGTTAAAAAAATACAATTAGTCCAGTCAAATTAGCGATCAACCTCGGAATGAGAGATAATAAGCTGAATTTTCGTATATACCTTCATTTTAGCGTTCTAAAAGTTGTCTCAAAAGTCTCATAAAATCTCGTGTCTGCGTCGTAAGTTATTCAAGGTTAAAGGTCAAGAAAAACATTATTTTGCGATTATCTCGGTTTCTATTGCTCTAATGATATTAACACTTATTATCATAATTGTAGACCACAAAATTTGGGACAAATTTTATTTGAAACATTTTTTGATACACTTAATCGTTTTTGAGATAGAGGGCAGTGGGCGCGCAGCGTTCATCCATACATACTGTAATGCAATCAACCGTAAATATCTGTGAATACTACCTTGAATTTTGAAAAATTTGTATTATTTATCAGTTAATACATTGCATTTAATAACATTTTGCATATTTTCAATACATTTATTTAATGATACTTACCTACTTTGTGTAATTAAAAACTCTTTAAATGACATATTTATTGTAGGTATATCTTAGGTTAGATTATTATATATCTTAAAGTTATATTAATGTTTTCAAAGTAAATTTTAAGGAAGTAAAACGAGTTAATATATTTTAATTTTATCTTTATTCAGCAGCTGTACATTTCTTACGATTGAAATTGAATTGCAGTGAAAATCTATAAATTTTTAATAATTTAAAGAACAAAAGTATCAATTTTCTTCTTCTTCACCGTCATCTTCTGGACGTTCGGGAATTTCTGTTTCATCGTCGTCATCTTCGGTGCCCTGAATTGTTGTTTCCAGACCTTCCAGTTATAATCATGATAGAAAAATAAGTATTTAAAAACTTACACATTTTAAAGATATAAATAAATTGAGATATACAATAAATATTTCATTAAATGAGTTTTTAATTACACAAAGTAGGTAAGTATTATTCTATGAATATATTGAAAATATGTAAAATGTTATTAAATACAATGTATTAATGGATTAATAATACAAATTATTCAAAATTCAAGGTAGTGTTCACAGATATTCACGGTTGATTGCATTACAGTACGTATGGACGAGCGCTGCGCGCTCACTGTCCTCTATCTCAAAAACGATTGAGCGCGGGAAAAAATATTTCAAATAAATTTTGTGCTCTACGATTATGATAATAATTGTTAACATCATTGGAGCAATAGAAACTGAGATAATTGCAAAAAACTGTTTCTTGACCTTTGACCTTGAATATCTTACGACGCAGACACGAGATTTTATGAGACTTTTGAGACAACTTTTAGAACGCCAAAATTAAGGCGTATACAAAAATTCAGCTTATTGTCTCTCATTCCGAGGTTGATCCCTTTTTTATGCTAAAATGACTGGACTAAATATATTTATATGTACTTAATATGTACTTACATATAACATAATTTTGGATATTATATACAGGTAGATGCCTGTAATACTATAACACTTTTTAGGAACCTACTAAACATGACACATTTCGCTTAACACGTTACATACATAGTGGGTTGCAGAAAAGTCTTATAGTGAAGCACCCTGTATGTTATACATACGCGGTGACTTCCAAATAGATTCGGAAAAAAAAATCCTTTAATTGTCACACGGATTCAAAGTAATTAAATTGCTGCTCCAGTTTCATGAAACAAATACGGAACATCTTGTTAAATGTAAATGATGCGGCAATGATTTATTCAGTTTCCATTGTGACTAAATTTTTTCTTTATTTTTGCTGTGTGTTGTTTAGATGAAAACAAATGGCACTGAATGAGGTGTAGATCTTGATATTTTTTCCCCTGAATTAGGACTACATAAGAGAAATTACTTAAAATTTTCTCTACTTCGTGATGTTGTGATTTTATTTTCCGAACTTATTTCAGAGTCACTCGATATATACACATAAAAATATTTTCTTCTTTTCTTATTTCAGGAACTGCTATTGTCCCAGATAGGTGGTAATGGGAAAAAGAACAATGTGGGGCGAATATTAAAAAAAAAAAACAGCGAATTTGCTGTAGCTTGTTTGTTCGGTAGGAAAATTCCAAAATGGCTGGGACAAAAACAATGAATATTATGAAAGGTATTTTTTTTGCAATAAATATAATTATTATATATTTTTTTTTTGAAGAAATTACAATGAAGACCCATTCCGCAATAGAAAAAGAAGTAGAACAACGCTGCTCGAGTGGTTACGGCATTCTAGTCAACGCCTGAAGAAAGAAAAAACAACGACAGTTTATAGTTTCTGTGTCTTTTTTTAAGTATAAATTATATTGTATTATTTTCGAATTAGGAAATCATATATATATTTATTTATTTATATTATGAATTTATATTAATTTTTGTATTTTATTACTTATTACATATTATATTTTTTCAAACATTGAATAAAATAATAATTTACTGTAAGCTCTAAATTTTACTCTCCATATCCATATTCCTAAATGGTAACTAGACTTTCTGAAATGCCTATTCATATCGCATAGATCATGTTAATAAAATATACTGAGAGTCATATGTTTGCGATGTTGCGATATATACGTAACGTCTATGTCCATTTAATACGTTATATTGGCGTTTAAAATAAAACGTAACAGATACATCAAAATATAGAGAATCTAGCGACATATTAACACAACGTTATGATGATGTACCAGCGAGCACGTCTCTAGTCTGAAACAATGTGGATATCACCAGTATGTTACAAGCATGGGTCACTGTTGATTACATTACATAGCACAGGGAAAGCAAATGTACGCAGTTTGGGATGTAACAGCTAACAAGATCGTAGACAGAGTTAAGTGGCATTAACATCGCTACAACGTAACTGTGTTTACTGGGTTACAGAAATGGGAAAATCCATTCGAGATATTTATACAGACGGTGAACCCTTTGGTACACGCTTGGGAGATGGTGTTCGAGTATACTTACCAAAATAAATTAAAGTGACAACGTGCTAATGTGCTTTTAGTCTTCCAGTGACACTTGTTTCAGTCGACCAGTGACCAAGCATGCAGAACTAGCATCCGCTTTCAATGACATTTACTTTTACGAGTTTTCTTATGATGGAGCACCTGGCAATATTTCTGTACACTACGATGGTGCTGAAAGTGTGGGTCATACTGAAGAACTGTCATATCTTTTTTGTAGTAGTATATTAGGGTGTAGCTTTAGTGAATTTACAGAATGCGATACACTTACATCGCAACGACTCATCACACTTTGGACAAATTTTGCAAAATATCAGTAAGTGAAGGAAGTATTTTAGAGATTTTTATCACTGATGGTTTTTTTTAGAAATCCAACGCCAGAAATGTCAGAGCTGTTCCAAAATATTACGTGGCCAAACCTTGTTGTCGAAGATGGTGATTTTCTTTATCTAGATATTAACGAAGAATTGGAAATTAAAAACCATCCCAAGGCAGAAATTATTAGGAAGTGGAATAGTCTTTATGATAGTTTGAATTTTACTGATTTTGACACTTACTAAAATATAGTTATAAAGTTGGGGAGATCTAAACAATTCTCTATTGGAGGATTGTTTATATTTAGCACGGAAAAACAAACATGAGTCATCGTTTTAAGTTGATTTAATAAATATGTACTTACTAAGATTTGGATTTTTATTTGTTATTAATACGTTACTTTATCTTTATATAGTAGTAATTTTATATTGTTCTGACTCATATGCATGTTATCTAATACTTGAAATGAAATCATTTGAAGGTCACGAACAATGGCACTGCCAACACGTGAACACCTCTATTAAAAAAAAACCAGAGGCATAAATAATACACCTGTATATTATAGCGCATATTGCAATAAAAAGTACGGACAATGAAAAATATATTTAGGCAGATAACGAACGGGAAGAAATGGTCTTCAGCAAGAATAAGCTTTAGTTTCAAGTGTTTGTTTATTTATACATCGGAAAAATGTCACGTAGAAATTTGTTTGTATATACTTAATATAACTTTTTAGTTATGAAAGTCTTATTAATATTATCAATAGATGCAAAATAAACATGAATAGATAAGCACCACTGACTTATTTAGATGATTATTTTGTTAACTGTTCTTATCTTAGTTATTTGTAAAAAAAAACTCAAATTATTGCCAAATTACGTAAATCACCGCTTTATGGTTCATTGTCCTTGAACCGGAATCCCCAGACAAGCTTTGCGTGATGTGTTTATGCTAATTAGTAGGAATAATGTGAATAAAAAGCGCCAGTAGATTTTCCTCAAACAAACTGAAAACACATACACGAAACAATGTGCTTTAAACTGTTAAACAGCTATTTAAGACTGGGCAAATTTTTCGCTCTTACTCCTCCTTCCATTGAAACCTACAAAAACTCAAAATTCCGTCAAATTCATCAAGTGTTTATGATTCTACTCACCATTACTTGTGTCACGATATCTGTGTATTTCAGAAATTTCTATTTACAATACAATCTTGCAAAAATAACAGTGTGCCTTCTTACCGATTTTGTGCTGTGTATTTTTTGTTGTCGAGTAGTGTTTGAAACATCTAAAGTGTCACAATGGGTTGAATTAATTAACTGCTTAAAACAAACAACCTGCTTATTAGAAGAGACAGACAATAGTAAAGAACAACGAATGCAGTGGAAATTTATAGTGCCTCAAGTGGTTTTTTGGATTATCGCAATTTATATAAATGTTTACTGGTTTACTATTTTGGGAGTCCTAATATTACAACAATACGGATTCGAAGTTTTGCAAAATTATGTCCAGTTCTTTTACACCTTTTATGTACACACGATTATAGACATGATTCAACGGAGATATAAAGCTTTGAAGCACCACTTCGAAAATAGATTCGTAGCAAACGACAAAAATTTAAATCAGATGGGGCATTATGCTTGCATGTTGAAGGAGACCATGAACACATTTAACAGTATTTTTGGATGGTCTTTATTTTTATTAATCACTTTTACCACTCTTCAGTTTCTTAATTATTTAGAATATAATCTCCACAGTCAAGAATTTGGAACAGAAAATGTGACTCAGACTATAATAGCACAAGTTCTAGCTATCCTTGCGTCCTTCGTAGGTACTAGTTTCTGTGTATTTTACGGTTTTAACCAGTTTGTTGTAGATACCTACTAGTATGTTGCTTCTAAAATGTGACAATGTGATGGAAGAATTTGAGGGAATTGTTTTTTTGGTATCGAAGTCCAGTACAAAACTTATAGATCCACGAATAAGGGAAGAAGTAGATAGATTTGGTAACATTCTTGCAACAAACCTTCCCCACTTTAGTGCAGCCAGATTTATTTTCCTTGGGCGAAATACACTATTGGGTATATTTGGAACCGTTGCTACGTTTTTCATAGTTGTAACTACCTTTGAACCCAAAGCAAGATCAAATATTCTTGAAACAGCAGCGAACGTTTCTCTCCCCAGGACGTAAAAATTTTATTTGAACTAAAACAGTTGTAAAACCAACATCGAACACAAATTTATTATAAACTAGCTGACCCCGCGAACTTCGTTTCACCTACAACTTAATTTTGAATCTGCAAAATCGAATGCTTTGAAATCTTGTAGATTTTTAAACATATGATAAGCATAATAAATTTTTATTCAAAATATATTTACTTATCCCCTCCAAAAAATTGATGACGTCAGCCCAAAATTTTGCCAAATGAATCCTATCTAAAATGTCCAAAATAGGATGAGACTATACTTGTGATTTATCATTCCATTCATATTTTTTAGTTTTGTTTATAGGGGATGTCTCAAAAAAATTAATCACTGAGTCAATTTATTTTATTGATTGAATCAAGAATTGCAAAACTGAATTTTGAAATATTGCAGACGTTTTGAAGTTACTGTTTGACATGGTAGGTTTTCAATCAAAATATATCTGTTTATCAAGCTCAAAAACTTGAAGACGTCATCTCAAGATTTTGCCGAATAAATCCTATCTAAAATGTGGAAAACATCATCAGTATATTTTCGTAATTTATCATTGCATTCATATTTTTTAGATTTGCTTTTACAGTGACTCAAAAAAATATATGGATCACTGAATTTATTTTAGTGAATAACTCAAGAGTTGCAAAAATGAATACTTTGAGATCTTGCAGACGTTTTAAAGTTATTGTAAGCATGGTAAATTGTTAAGAATATTTATTTATTCCCCCCAAAAAATTGATGGAATGGCTCACTCGATTTTCGCAGATAATTTTGGGAATACAATACAGTTATTTTTAGTATTACACTGCACCAATCCAAGGTGGTATACGTGTTGATAGTAAATGTTGATTAGGTCATCACAAAATTGTGTGAAGAACAGACTCAACTCGAAAATGCTGAATAGGTTTCATTATACTTTTGGTGCCAAAGAAGTTCTGTCGAAACAACGTTCGATCAATTTTTTGACAATGGTTGATATAAATAAAACTCAGTAGATGCTCATACTCGAAATACGAAGTATCTACTCTACAAAATATTTCTAGTTTTTCTAGATGATACTAATACTTCAGTAAGTAACAGTTGATGCTCAAGTAGCATCTCGATACAACAAAAAAGGACAACAGTGACAGTGTTCAACCATCAAGGCAAAAATCGAGTCACCAAAATATAAGTTAGCATGGGGTAGAGACCTTAAGATGGGAATCTCTATGGCCAGTGTTAGAAAAAACGCACTGCACAATTTATGCATAAATAAAAGTTAATTACATGAAAAGTTTTCGATATTCCTGCTCCTAATGTGTTTTTCAAACTGAATGTACCTTTTGACGACGTTCCACGTTCATGAAAGTCACCATGTTTAGTTAAAATTCACTCTTATAACGATCCTACTGGTTTTCTAAACTGCTTTACAGACAGCTCAGTTATTTGCCACGCCGATGCTCTTTTCTAGATTAAATGCTCACAAAACGCGTAGATGTTCAGTTTGTGTCCGGGGAGATACAATGTTTCCACGTAGGTACTCAGTACATAGAGTAGATGCTCAGGTATATAAGAGTAATAATGAAGTAGGTACTTCGTACTTCGAATATGAGTATCTACTCAGTTTTATTCATACCACCCAATGTCTCGCTTCAATGTTTGATTATGTTAATTATGAACACAACGCTGATCAACTTCCATATTCGAATTATCCATGAAATAAATCATTGCCGTTTGCACCTGAGGTAGTTCGTCGCACATTTGATTGACTTCGTGGACCTATGTGAGCTTGTCGTCTTCTCGGCATTTTAATGAACTTCATAAAACGACACAGAATTATTTTCACAGTCAATCAAATCTGTAAATTTTGTCTTGAGAATTTTAAAATATTGAAAACTTCAAATTAAATCCTCGAATAACGGTAGGTAAAGTTTGAGGTTTTGTCGAAACCAACAAAGTGAATATAGGTAAAAAGAATGACAGATCAAAATGAATAAGAAACTTTCGCAATGTGTAATTAAATTCACTTTAACTAAGACTTTTCTTAAAATAAACGACGTTTTTTTTTACGAAAAAACAAAGAACGATTTGAAATGCAATATACTTTTCACAATCGCACGGAAGAATTAGTTTTGAATGACACGTCAGTTAGACGACAGGTCCGTCAGAAACTATTGAAATTAATTCGAAGTGGCGATTCCCATACAAAATTTTTAGAATTTTTTTATTTTTTGACTGTTCTTTTAAGTTATCCTTATTTTTTTTATTTATAAACCATCCCCGTAATATAAAAAAAATTTCAAATCGGTCAAGCCGTTTTTGAGTCTTAGCGAGACTAACAGGAACAGCAATTGATTTTTATTTTATAAACGATTAAAAAATGGGGGTTGGTGGTAGAAAGGTAAAAATTTAGGGTTATGTATATTTTTTGTTGCCAAATGTTAAAAAAACAAAAATAAAAAATTTTGTCCAAAAAATAGATACACATTTTTTAGGGTGGGATACCCTTATCACTTAGGGGTTTAAAAAATAGTTTACAACTTATTGTCAGACCTACCGAATACGCATAAAAAATTTCATACAAATCGGTCAACCTATTTCGGAGAAGTTCGGTTACAAACACTGTGACGCGAGAATTTTATACATAATGCATTATTATTTTAGAACAAATTTCATTACCATAAAAAAGGTTATACTGACTCGACCTTAAAAGATAGACATATGCTGTCGCGGACTTTTCTTTAGATCTTTTAGAGGGGAACAATTTCGTCATACATGATTTTCACGGAACTTTAACCGTTTAAGCAGCGTAAGCAACGGAAGCTGTCAAAGGAGGAATAATTTTCCCGTTTTTCCGAATTTTTCATTGCTACTTCGCTCCTAATTATCGTAGCGTGATGTTATATAGCCTATATGTAGATATGATACATGGACTATCCAACACAAAAAGATTTTTTGAATTTGAACCAGTAGTTTCTGAGATATGCGTATTCAAATAAACAAAAGCTTCAGCTTTATTATATAAGTATAGATTATGTTATACATATTATAAATATAAGCGAACACTGATATATTCTAAATATTCGTATGGTTAGAAAACAGCGAAGAGTGTGATTTTTAACGAATATTTAAAACGGATTTCAAATGAAACTACAATTTCACCCACAATATTTTTGCCGATTTGAGTAATTATTATCGGAATGCGAAATACACACGCAAGAAAAATATAAATTACACTTTTCGGTTAATCAATACCATACTTTCTTTGTTTGTTAATTTCATGTATGTGTGGTTGAACCCTAGTATTACAAATTTTGGTAAAAATTTTAATAATACCTTTGTCATAAAACTGGGAAATATACATTTTTCATGTCCCGCATATGTAATATTATTGTTTGAATGAATAATGTGAATGTAAGATACATATTGGGCTTTATCAGCGTAAAATAATCCTCTGTTTTTATTAGAGTTTGTACATTTTTTAAATGTACAATTTTTTTTTGTCTATTACTTTTAAAAATAGGTCTCATTTGTGTACACGTCTCTATATTTTATTTTAATACAAACTTTTGGCTGTAATATAAAATAATTATGTATATATCCTGCGATTTCAGAATAATGAAAACATTTGTAAATATCAAGTGATGTATATATAAAAAAGACTGGTGTTATGTTTTGCTATAAACGTAGAAAAATATTGTGATATTCCAAACATCCAGACTTATATTGACATGCGAAATTAAAAAAAAATGATTTTCACTATGAACGTCTATCAAAATGGAACCCTACAACATTGTGTTTGTTTTTTTTTGTGGCCGAATGCATTCAGATGCAAAGTGGTGGACTCCAAGGTTGGAAAAATACCGCTAAATAAAACATAAAATACCTATATGGAGGACACCAAAACTCTTATTCCTCCATCCTGATAAAAAAAGCAGCGACTAATTTGGGCAGGTTTAAGACTTCTTATAGTTCTCACCTACAAAAAAAAACTTGCCTAACTTTCCCATTGAAATCAAATCAAACGTTCTGAAATAATCAAATATTTGAATATCGCAAAATATAAAATAGAAAGTCTGAATTAAATTAACTGAATGGGAATACACACATTATTACGGATGTATGGCGGCAAATTTAAATTATGGAAACAGGGTATTACATATAATTGCAAGGAAGAAAAACGAACAAAACTAAATTATGCCACACTTTGTCAACAATTCAAACTAAGAATTTACGTGACGTTAAATTATGCCACACTTTATCAACGATTCCAACAAAGAATTTATACGATGTTAAATTATGCCATGGTCCAAGTTACTGCTTACTTAAAACATTAGCTTTGAGAGTTTATATCGTGAACTGTCCCCAGCTTACCCCAAATAAACACATGATAAATAAACACAAAATGCAGTTCACTATATTATGAATTCTATCGCACATTCCACGGTCGTTTTTCTCAAAGTAGGACAACGTTTTGTTAATTTAACGGCCGTAAATGAACTATTAGCAATCTTGTGTCAGGAATTAAGAAGTGTTATTATAATGTAACACTCCTCTCGCGGAAACCTGTAACCCATAGAGAGCGCGTCCCCGGGTGGCGGATTGGGCAATGCCGGACCCGGTTTTCCGGTGGGTAGGAGGGAAATAAAACACCTCCCGCTGACCAACAGGTGGGGCAGAAGGGGCTTCTAAGCCGTAAAGAAGGCAATCCTTCTAGAAAAAGGAAACTTCGATAACAAAACCCTGGTCCTTCTAGAAGGGGGTTGGGCCATCGGGCTAACTCCTCGATACTCGGAATAAGGAACTGGAACAAAAAACAACGAAAACTGCAAAGAAAAGGGATAATGATTTACGCAATATGGAACGTACAAGGACTCTCTCGGAAATCAAATGAAATAATATCGGGGCTAAAGAATATAAAAGCAGATGTCGTAGTGATAACAGAAACTAAAAAGAAAGGTAATGGCTTCGAAAACTGGGGACACAACGACCACTTCTACAGCGGCGTACTTAAAGATCAAAGAGCCCAGCAAGGAGTGTCCATTCTAATACGTACAACACTAAGAAAATATATTACCACTTGGGAAGCCATCAACCAACGATTTATAAAAATAAACCTTACAATTAAAGGATATAAAATAACAATATTGGGAGTATATGGTATAAACGATGACTCCCTCGATAACGTCAAAGAGGATTTTTTCGAACAACTGAACGACGAAATCAACCGAATAGGAACATCGAGAGAGATCATTATTTTAGGAGAGCTAAACTACCGAATCGGACAAGAAGCCAACAGCTAAGTACTTGGAAATAGATTATTAGCGATATGTGCACAAAACAACTTACGAATACTAAATGGCTTTTCTCAACACCGCAACATACACAAATATACATAGACACAGTCGACCCGAAATTTGAAGTCTATAATCGATTTGTCAGACAAAATACTAAGATGAAGATTCAGGATGTTAAGGCATGCAGAGGACCATCGTGCGGCAGCGATCACTACCTGCTCAAAATCAAAGTTGTACGAGCAAATAAAAATGGACAAGTACCTAGGGATGAAAATAACACAGGACGGAACTCAAGGCAAAGCAACAAAAGAAAGGAACTCGTAAGGAAGAAAAGCCATATCCATGATAAATGGAATGCTATGGGATCCGCATGTCTCAAAAGTGAACAAACACCGAATATACAACAGCATTGTGAAGAGCATCGTCACATATAGAAGCGAAGTATGGCAATTAAAACAAAACACTGAGAAAATGCTACTGATAACGGAGGAGGTCGACAGGTAAATCGAGGAAGGACATAGTACCAAATGACAGAATTCGAGAAATCATGGGGGTCACACATACAATAATTGACGACATCAAAACAAAACAGTTGATCTGGTATGGCCATCTACAGCGAATGGCTGAAAATAGACTTCCAAAACAAATTTTGACATGGACACCACACGGAAGAAGGACAACAGGGACACCTAGAAGCAGTTGAGAGGAAGGAACTGATAAAGAAATAAAAGAACGAGATCTACCAGAAGGCCTCTGGAGAGACAGGGAAGAATGGCGGTTAGCAGTCGGAAGACGTCGTAGAACGTTTTGAAACCGAATTATATAATGTAACACTCAATTATAAGCATCCAGAAACCTTATTTATAACTTGATAAGCAAAAAGATGAGTCCTGAATAAGTAAATCTCAGGAAATATTCTAGCAAGTGTTTAATCTGAACAATCTCATGACTGTTCAATTGTGTACGAACCAGTAACGATTAAAATCTTAACATGAACTGTGAATTTACAGACAATAAACCAAATTTACACCACATGTTAGCATCGGTCGAAAATTCACAGATTTGTCATTATGTTAAAAAATATTTTATAATGCATTGCCGGGGAGGGGCACTATTTTCAACATTTATTCTAATATCGAACCTATCATTAATATAAATTTAAAAAAAAATCTTATATACTCTTCCCACTAATTATATATTTGAAAAAGTGAAGTTAGATTAGACGATCGATGACAGCTGTCGTCAATCATAAATTTGAATTTCAGCGCAGCCATACTTCAAAAAAAAAAGAAAAAACAATGTCAACCTGATGAACTTTTTAAATGAACACCATTGTGTAAAGCACGATATAACATATAAAAATTTAGTAAACATAAACATACAAGGGAAATAAATTAGTGTCGCTCAAATTCATGATTTAGTATTTTTTTGTAATTTTGTGAAATAGGTTTTAACCGTCTTGTTAAACCGCATATTAGAATAGTTATGCTTTATAAATAACTTTTCTTGAAAACTAAACCAGTATATAAAATTTTAAACAAGTTTGAATTTCAGAAAATTTGTGACAACTAAAACATTTTATTTGAGGTAGGGTTAGCAGTATCGAAGTGTAAACAATGAAGTATGTATACGAATTTGCAAATTTGCCCACTGTATATAAATAAATATTTTAAATATGAATTGAGGAACAGAAAATTATAATTGCTGAAATCAGTAGCGGGTACATCAACTGCTAAGTGGTATTGACCTCGTATTCACTTTAGTTTAGGAGAACAATAATTATGACAGTGGCTAAAATTAGTCATACTTAAAAAGCACGTTACTCATAGTTTCCAGTTTTATCTACTATTAATATGTTACATCACCTGAATTATAGCAGCAATTTTGTTTTATTGTGACTCACGTGCATGTGATCTAGTACTTGAAAATAAACATTTTGTTAAATCTCAATGGACAGTTTTATATTGACACAATTGATATATAATATAAAATCTCTTGCCTTGTTGTTCTAAATCAGTAAGAACAATGCAGTACAAAACCTTTCTTCTACTTTTAATTTTGGTCACTCATACTTATTGTGTAAGTAAAAAAAACTTGAAATAATAGATGTTGTAAAAACTGTTCTTTCAGGCTGAAAATCCAATTGTTGAATTACCGACTGGAAAAATACAAGGTCGCCTAATAACCACTTTTGCAAATAAAACCTACTATACTTTCCGGAAAATACCATATGCAACTTCGCCAGTAGGATCCCTTCGATTTAAGGTAGAACGTAGTAACATTCAAATTTATAAATTATTTTAACTGATATGTTAGGCACCACAACCTGCTCAAAAATGGGATGGTATTCTTAATACTACATCTATAGACGTCAGCTGCTACCAGCTTCAAATCAATCAACCTTCTGATTCAGAAGACTATTTGTTTCTTAATGTTCATACACCAGAGGTATTATTGTAAATACATTTTCATACATTTTCATTTTTGACGTCTTTTTAGCTTCCTGAAAATGATCCGAAAGTTTCTTTTCCTGTTATGCTTTACATAAACGGTGGTGGATTTATGCAAGGATCTAGTATATTTGCACCACCAGATCTGTTCGTAAATCATGATGTCATTCTAGTTACTATTAACTACCGTTTAGGAGCTTTTGGTGAATTTCTACAACTCTACAAATTTAACAAAATTACTAATTATGAAAATTTTCAGGATTTCTTTCAACAGAGGATGAAGTAATTCCTGGAAATAATGGCCTGAAGGATCAGCGTCTTGCAATACAGTGGACTCATGAAAATATTCACTTATTTGGTGGAAATCCAGAAAAAATAACAATTTTTGGACAAAGTGCAGGCTCAGGTTCAGTTGCCTATCAACTACTTAATCAAGAATCATCGGGTTTGTTCCTTCGAGTTTCTACGAAATTAGTTATTATAATTCCAAATTGTAGGACTTTTCGCAGGAGCGATTTTAGAAAGTGGTACCTTCTTGTCTCCTTGGGCTTTACAGAGAAATGCTAGACAAATAGCCTTCCGCACAGCTGCATTATTGAATTCATCCTTTTCAGCTAGTAATGATTCCACGGCGTTGCTTGACTATCTACAAGGTGTTAAAGCTGAGGACTTGGATGCAGCAGCCGAACAATACGTACTAAAAGTACATGCGTAAGATATTGTATAGTCTAAAGTGTAATTACGTTTAAATATCCAGGTAAGCACCCTGTGGGAATATGACAATCCGCAAGGCTACTTTTATGTGCCTGTATTAGAAGTAAAAAACCCTGATGCTTTCATTACTAGAAAAATGTATGGACTTTTAAAAGCCGGAAACATAATAAAAGTACCAATTATAATAGGTTTTAATTCTGAGGAAAGTATAGCCTTTCACCAAGGTACGTAAATTAAAAGTGTTTGTAACTGTTAATTGAGTATTGTTAGATCCCAGTGTTTATCAGTCAGTCTTGGAGGCATGGGATGCAAACTTAGATTTGATAGTTCCAATCGACATGCGAATTACTGATCCCGAAAAACAATCAGAGATGGCACGTTCAGTTCGAGACATTTATACAGAGGGTGAACCTTTTGGAAATCGTCTCGGGGACGCTATTAGAGTAAATCATTTTTTAATTATTTGTAATTCGTCTACGAAAATATTGTCATTTCAGTATGCTAGCGATAACGGTTTCACCAGATCTATAATTAAACATGCCGAATTATATTCTGCTTTTGCCGAAACCTACTTCTACCAGTTCTCGTATGATGGAAAAACAGGTGGTATTTCTGTACATTACGATGGTGCTGAAAGTGTTGGTCACAGTGAAGAAGTTTTGTACCTATTATGCAGTGGAGAGGGTTGCAACTACAGTAAAGTCTCAGAAAATGATAGTATTACATCAGAACGACTGATTAAACTCTGGACCGATTTTGCTAAATTCCAGTAAGAATGGAAACTTCACAGTGTATTTTGTTTTAACTAATGTTTTAGAAATCCTACACCAGAAGAGTCAGAACTGCTACAAAATATCACTTGGCCTCCACTTTCGGTGGTTGGTGGAGATTTTCTGTATCTTGATATCAACGAAAATTTGGAAATCAAAAATCACCCAAAATCCGCAACTTTTGGTAAATGGAATGAACTTTATGATGCTTTGGGTTACAGCGATTTTGATACTTACTAATTTGAACAATCCATGGATTCGCCCATTCATGTTATAAATTTATGTATCTCCAGAGGCTTTTCAATAAATATTATCAAACATAACAAAATGAAACTAATTCCGAAATTTACTTTAAAAGCATGTGCTGAAATTGTTACTTTTCCACCAAAGTTAAACCCACTGTGTATGGTGTTGATGTTCGCTGTTCGTGTACAGAAATACGGTCGTACTTGAATAGAATTTATTTTATCAACATAACAACTTAAAACTAACAATAACGAGTTGGACGCGACTCGGGACACAACCACTTTCGTAGACCACGCGAATGAAAGAGAGCGAGCGTCGGTTTATTTTTCCCGTGTTTCTTGTTCTTCGGGTATCCTCGTTCATCCCGAAGTGATTGTCCAATCCGGCGGCAGGGTAATGTTGCCTAACTTTTAGGAGCATGATAATTGCATGCCCACAATGGTATTGCTCTATCCTGTTGGGAGAAACCTCTATGGAGTTCATCATCTTGCTTGTATCTTTCTCGAGTTACTGAACCTTGTCAAAATAGAGGTCCATATACTTATATTAGAGAAACTGCTGACCAATACATCAATCTTCTGGGAATGCAGTGAGTTTTCGAGAAATAAAAGCGGATTTTCAGAACACTAAGGTCTAAAATTGCACGAGCTGACAAAATCAAAAATATTTAAGCAAACTTTATCACAAAAGGATGTTAAATCCAACATTCTCCTCTTAGTTCCCACAGATGCAGGTAAAGGTCTTATTCTTATTGAATGTCCTGATCTGAAATATTCTCAACGATTTATATCTCTAATCTAAAAAGGATCTGTCTAGATATTAGTATTTATCTAACATCAATTGGACGATTACTTTTAATAATTGTACAAGGTTTCTATAAATTATTATAGTCCCAGTAAGTCTATCAGGTTTAACTCTAAATACTAAGTGCCCAAGAACGGATGACAAAGACCACCCGCATCTGTATAACCGGTTGCCTAAATGCTTCATATCTTTTTAAAAAATAAAACTAATTCATTACAATAAAAAGAAACAAATTTATTGCGGTTAAACATCACAGTAAGTGATGAAAATGTTCACCATTTTATTCAATGCACATGTTCATTCTCTTTTTAATTTCAAAAATATTCTGTAACTTCCTTTCAATTCTGCTCAAGTCTTCGACGAGATTTATCTTTGTTGACACTGCCAGTTCGAACAAATCTGTTGATTACATCTCTAATGTGCGCCTCTAACGATGTTCCTTGAATTATTGAATCAGGGTATTTGGACAGATATTCTTGCTTACAAGCGGTTACAGGATACAGCCACTCTTTGTTTCCGAAGTCCCATTGCGATAACAAGACATAACGATGAAAGAATTGTCTTATTCTTGTTCAACAGAATAAACCATTTTCACAGAATTCGACCACCAAGAGTTTTGAAAACGATTGTTTTGTTGTTTTGAGCTTGGATCAAGGAGAATTACTGTAATTCGCACTTGAAAAACGTTAAACCAATAAAAACGACGACTTTAATTGACAGGTTACAACTGACATTAGACATTAATGTGAGAAGGGAGAACTGTCATAATGAGGCATATCAACGGGCGTAATTTGAGCGAAGCGGGAGTTTTGAAATCCATGGTCAACTATGCCCTTAGAATCATTTATAAAAGCCCTGTATATTGTTCAAATCTGTGATATTTTTGTAGTCATATTATATACAGGGTTTCTATAAATGGTTATAATGTTGAAGTAGGTTATGGAAACGTGCCGCCTCTCATTTTTTTTAAACTTTACTAAATGCCCAAGGACTTACGACAAACACCACATGCATCTGTATAACTGGTTGTCTAAATTTCTAAATACTTCATATCTTATTAAAAGATAAAACTAGTTGATTTTAATAAAAAAAAAAACAAATTTATTGCGGTTAAATATCACAGTAAATGCTGCAAATTTTCTTCAAGGCACACGTTCACTCTTTTTTTAACTTCATAAATGTTCTGTGACATCCTTTCGTGAATACTTTGGACTTATTGCAGATTTTCATGTTGCAAAAGGCACTCCTACCTGCTGAGGAAATCTTGTCAAAGATATTATTATTATTAATATTATTATTACTTATTATACGATCGGGCAGAAGCAGCTGTCTGTTATGCCCGCGTACAATTTCTACTATGTATTGTATCGAACACTCTATTTGTTATAAAATACTGCCTTATGGTGGAGTTAAATTTACCCTTCAAGAGTTTGAAATTATGACCTCTAGTCCTGGTGTAACAATTTAAACTGAATAAATGTTTAATTGGAGAGTTCACGTTCGTAAGTGCTTGAAATGTTGCAATAACGTCTCCTCTTACCCGTCTTTCAGCAAGCGTTGGCAGTTTCATTATGGATAGCCTGTCAAGATATCCAGGCCTATTTCGTCCAAAGGGTAATCTTGTTGCTCGACGCTGGACATTTTTTAGTAAAGTTACATCCTTCTGTAACACTCGTGTTCAAACACTATTGCCAAACTCTATTATGGGTCTTACATAAGTTTTGTATAATTTAACAGCTACCGTAATATTTGTACTGTCGAATGCCTTACTTAGCATGTATACCATCTTGTTAGCTTTTTTTGTGATATGCATAACATGCTCTAACCATGAAAGTTTAGACGTTACCAAGATACCTAAATCTAAATATGATTCTGATTTTTTGAGTTCCGCACCTCCCATGTGATATGTGTGCAATTTTTAGAACCTAGATATAAAATGGTACACTTGTCTCTATTTAATGGTAAAGCCCATTGTTCTGACCATTTAAGAACAGCTGAGATGTCATTTGTCATAATAAGCTGATTGCAACTTTCATTATAAATTTTAAGATCGTCCGCGTACATTGCAAAGTAAGAGTTTATAGAGAACTTTAGGTCAGCGGTATAAACTAGAAAAGTGGACCAAGTACCGACCGTTGAGGTGCACCACTAATTACTTGAACTGCAGCACTCAAAGCACCTCCTATTTTTACGTTAAAAGAGCGATCAGTAAGGAAACCATCGATCCAACGAAGAAGTTTACCTTGTATTTCAAAATGTCGTAACTTATATAATAAGTATCGTCTAGGCACACGGTGGAAGGCCTTCGGAAAATCAAAATATGCCACATCAACACTTTTGCCCATATCAAGAGCCCGGGTCCACTCATCAAGGCAGCATAACATATTGGTATTTATAGATTTTCCCGCCCCAAAACCATGCTGTTCACATGGTATGATATTGCATTCCATAAGAAAATTCATCGTTTTATCGTAAATGATCGACTCCATAATTTTTACCACAACAGAATGTTAAACTTACAGGTCGATAATTTGACGCATCAAATTTATCTCCCGCTTTAAAAATAGGAGTCACAGTCTCTGTTTTCCAATCAAGAGGTAATACACCTAATTCAAAAGATTGATTAATAAGTATGCAGATGGGACGAGAAAGATTTGTAGTACAACTTTTTAAAAGTTTGGCGGTAATTTTATCAGAGCCTGGAGATTTTGTAGATTTTAATTTAAGAAGTTTTTGTAACACAGTTTCTTCAAGAAATTGTAGATCATTCAAGCGTGCTACATTTGAGGGAACATTCATGACTGGTATGCTATTTGGTTCATTTGTAAACGCAGCAGCAAACGTAGATGCGAAAATATCCGCTACCAAACTCTCGTCATCGACGACACAACGATCTGTATTTCTAAGCTGGGGCGTTCTAACCGGAGCACCTAAGCTGGAACGGATGTATTTAAAGAAACTCTTTCAATTTTTATCATCTGCAATACGTTTTTCATATGTGATCCTTGCCTGCCTGATTACAGAAGAGAGATGATTCGAAAACGATCGATGAGTTATATAATCAGTAGTATCTCCAGTTCTTTTAAAGTTCCGCAAGAGTGCCCGCTTCCTTCTAATTAATTTGAGCATCTTGCTATTAATATGTGAGGATTCTGCTCAAGTCGTCTCAAATCACCAACAACTTCCTCAGATACTGACGGTCTTCCAGGAGATTTATCTTTGTCGACACTGCCAGTTCGAACAATTCTATTGATTACATTTCTAATGTGAACTTCTAATGATGTTTCTTGAATTTTCAAATCACAGTATTTGGCCAGATATTCTTGCTTACAAGAGGTTACAGAATACACAACTTCTTAGGTATTTGTAAATTTATTATTTTAGAAATATTGTATCTCTTAGATAACATAGTTTCTTAAAAAATATTTTCTAATCTTTCGACGAACCCTGTGGTCGGTAGTCACGATGAGGTTTTCGTCGATATCTTAGTCGCAGTTATGACGTATATTTGTGCCCAGCCTTCAACCAAATAATGCCTCTGAAAACCCTCTTAGGTGGTCTTTACGAAAAGGTCACTTTCACTCCACGGGGCTTGGCGACTTACCCTGAGGAGTTGCTCGGGCGCCAGTTCCCTCTCCAGAGAGGGAACACGTGGGGTACTTTAGACCGAAAAACGAATCTCCAGTGGATTTCGTAAGAGCCGTGACTCCGATTATACTTAAAATATTCGGCTTGTATTTCCTGCTACCAGCTTCAGAAATAAATAAGAAAAAAGAAACTAAATAAAGGCAGAATCGTTCGGCAAATAAAAAGAAATGAGAACTCGGTGAAGGTCGTGTGACCTCCCTTGCGGCGTATCCTTACTGGACTGGGCTGCTTCGGTTCCTGGGGGGTCCGTGTTTAACGACTCTTATCTGATATTCTTGAATTATAATAAGTGTTTTGTAATTAATTTTATTTGCAAAATAAAGGAAAGCTTTCCGGGATTTACGTGCTCCATATTTTGATTTCAACATTTATGAGACCCATTTTAGAATACATTTGCTTAAAATGCTGGATGCTCCAGTATGTCCGACTGACCCATCTTTTAAATGTAAAGTAACTAATCTGCAAAACTAAAATGTAGGCACTTAGTTCCTTTCTTTATTTTAAGAATAGTTAAACTTAATCTTATTATGTAGCATATTACTCATTGTTTCCAATTTTATTTATTGTTAATACGTTAAGTGATCTTTATATTGTAGCAACAATTTTATCTTATAGTGACTCATGTGTATATATTTTAAATCTCAATAGACAGTTTTATATTTACAACTCTATCAGATAAGACTTGATGTCTTTCTATTTTTGCATCAGTAAGAACAATGTGGTTCAAAACCTTACTTCTTGTTTTAGGTTTCGGTACCCTAACATATTCTGTGAGAAAGGAAAATACTTTAACGAATGTGTATTTACCTTAAAAAATAAAATCTTTTTAGACAGAAGACCCAATTATTGAGTTACCGACTGGAAAAATACAAGGCCGTCAACTAACTACTTATGTAAATAAAACTTACTATACTTTCCGGAAAATACCATACGCAGCTCCACCAGTAGGATCCCTTCGATTTAAGGTAGAATCGTAGTAACTTTAAAATTGATAATTATTATTATAATTAATATGTTAGGCGCCACAACCTGCTCAAAAATGGGATGGAATTCTTAACACTACATCTATAGATGTCAGCTGCCACCAAATTCAAATCAATCAAGCTTCTGATTCAGAAGATTGTCTATTTCTTAATGTTCATACACCAGAAGTATTATTCTAACCACATTATCATATCTCACGATTAACTTGTTGACTATATTTTAGCTTCCTGAAAATGATCCAAATGTATCTTTTCCTGTTATGCTGTACATACACGGTGGTGGATTTATGCAAGGATCTAGCATATTCGTACCACCAGATCTGTTCGTAAATCAGGGTGTCATTCTAGTTAGCATTAACTACCGTTTAGCTGCTTTTGGTAAATTTCAACAGCTGTACAGATTTAACAAAATAACTAATCAAGAAAATTTTCAGGGTTTCTTTCAACTGAAGATGAAGTAATTCCGGGAAATAATGGCTTGAAGGATCAGCGTCTTGCAATACAATGGACTCATCAAAATATTCACTTATTTGGGGGAAATCCAGAAAAAATAACAATTTTTGGTGGAAGTGCAGGGTCGAGTTCTGTTGGTTATCAACTACTTAATCAAGAATCATCGGGTTTATTTGTCAAGTGTATAAGAAATTAATTGTATTAATGCTAAATTGTAGGACTTTTCGTAGGAGCAATTTTGGAAAGTGGAAGTTTCTTATCTCCTTGGGCGTTACAGAGGAATGCTAGACAAACAGCATTCCGCACAGCTGCATTTCTGAATTCATCTTTTTCGACTGGTAATGACTCCATAGCCTTGTTGGAATTCTTACAAGGTATTAAAGCTGAGGACTTGGACGCAGCATCCGAACAGTACTTTCTAGAAGTACATAAGTAATATACTGTGCGACCTAAAGTTGAATCACATTTTAAAATATCCAGGTAAGCACCCTATGGGATTATGACGCTCCGAAAGGCTATCTTTATGTACCTGTAATAGAAGTAAAAAACCCTGATGCTTTCATCACGAAAAAAATGTATGGACTTTTGAAAGCCGGGAACATAATAAAAGTGCCAACTATAATAGGTTTCAATTCTGAGGAAAGTCTGACCATTCACCAAGGTATGTAAACTAAAAATGATATTTGTTTATATCTATTAACTAATTGTTTTGTGTTAGATCCCAGTGTATTTCAGTCGGTGTTGGAGGCATGGGATGCAAACTTAGATTTGATAGTTCCCACCGACATGCAAATTACTGACCCCGAAAAATATTCAGAAATGGCACTTTCAGTTAGAAATATTTATACGGAGGGTGAACCATTTGCAAATCGTCCAGGGGACGGCATTAGAGTAAATAATTTATTAAATGAAGTTTAATTCGTCCAGATGAATATTATCATTTCAGTATGCTAGTGATAACGGCTTCACTAGATCTATATTAAAACATGCCGAATTATATTCTGCGTTTGCCGAAACTTACCTCTACCAGTTCTCGTATGATGGAAAAACTGGTAATATTTCTGTACACTACGATGGTGCTGAAAGCGTCGGTCACGGCGAAGAAGCTATGTACTATTTGTGCAGTTTTGAAGGTTGCAATTTCAGTAGAGTCTCAGACAGTGATGGTATTACATCAGACCGACTGATTAAGCTTTGGACTGATTTTGCCAAATTCCAGTAAGATATCCAATTTCATAATGTACTTTGTTTTAGTTAAAATTTTAGAAATCCCACACCAGAAAAATCAGAACTGCTACAAAATATTAGTTGGCCTGCACTTTCGGTTTCAGGCGGAGATTTTTTGTATTTTGATTTCAACGAAAATTTGGAAATTAAAAACCATCCAAAATCTGCAACTTTTGGTAAATGGAATGAACTCTATGACAGTTTGGGTTACAGCGATTTTGACACTTACTAATGTACTGAACAATGCATGGATGCGCACATGTCATAAATTCATGTATCTTAAAAAGTTCTTATAAAAATATCATCCTACATAACTGACTGAAACTAATTTCAAAATCCACTTTAAGATAGTGAAGCGAGTACTAATCATGCAACAATGGTTTCAAATCTCAATGGACTTCACGTTAACTGGAAAACAGCATTTGTTAAGCACATTTAAGTTAATTTGACGTCCTTAGCATGTAAATTTATGGGATTAATCACTTGTGACAATTTTTTCGCGACAATTAGTCCTAATCGAATTTTATCACTGAAAAATGCATTATTTCCAATCTTCTTTCGAGTTTTTCTGACCAGACCAGAAAAACAGATATAGGGAACAAGAGTTGGATTTTTCAAAGCACTCGGTAGAGTGCGTAAAGGCCGCCTTTTGGTCAAATTTAAACATTTTGGTACCCACGATTATCTACTATCTTGGGTAAATACATTTCTCTATAATCGAACAAATCACGTCTCCCAGGCTGGACGACTCGTTAAAATTAGGATTGGTACCGAATTTTTCTTTTCTCCTCTTCAATCAATTAAATTTATTCAATCAAGGTTACATCGTCAATCGAATTCTCCATCATATAAAAAAAACATATGAAACACTGCGACGAAATTCCTACGGGACGGTGACGGTCCGGAATTTCGCCGATAACGTGTGGGGGTGGCGTGTCTCGGTGCTAAGCCTTCGGCCGACTAGTGTCACTGAGGTAGAAACACGTCTGGCCGATCTAGGCTTATGCGGACACCTTTACGCCACCGGGGTTGCTCTCAAACCGGAGACACGAATCTCCAGGTGGTGAGCGGCAGCGAAAAAAGAAAATAAATTAAAACGGAAAGAAATATCTTACAATAAATCGGGTTTATTCCCTGCAACCAGCTACATAGCTAAAATAATAAATATTACAGCTAAAAGCAACTTAAATAATTACAAAACAAATTAAATAAACAAAAAGAATAAGAATAAAACGTCCGGCACGGTCGCTTCCTCCTGGACGACGACTTCCTTAACGATGGGCTTCTCTTGGAGGTGGGGGCGGCGACCTTGAAACGGGAAATCGCGTGGGTATGGTACGGCGATCTGGGCGGGAGCGCGGTGGCGAAACACGACACGTGCTCGGCGGTTTCGATTTTTGACGATGACGACAAAGAACCGGTGACGGCGATTCAAAATCGATACGCACACAGGCAGAAAACCCAAAACGGTATTTACGGTGGTCGGTTCTCACAGGGCTCTGCACTTCAAAAACTCAAACTCACACTTATGGGGAAAACGGCTACAGCACTTTTTCCTCCGAATCCTTAAGACAGCATTCCCTTCTTCCGTCGGGGCGGCGTGACGATCGCGAATCTACCTCCGGTTCACTCGGTACGCGAAAATTTGCTTCGTTAAAATACGTTCAAATCATAATGATGTCGTTCGGTACACACTTCGTTATGAGAGGAGTGTCTGAAAATAATGTTCAAATTCAGTTCATAGAACAAAAATTGCAACAGAATAACAGTATAAAATCCCCTTTTCCTCTTCGAATTCACCAAGACATTTATTTTACTGGTAATGTTCAAAGTAAAACAATGTTTAAAAATAGATCGTGTATAAAAAATCACACTTCAACTCTCAGTTCTATCAGTTTAATGTATCACGTCAGCTTTATATAACACCACTTTTAAGAGATGATCGTGTTATCTAGTACTTAAATATATTTTTTTGTTAAATTTTAAGAGACAAGATTAGAATCACAACTTGGTTTTATATCATAAGTTCACATATGTTTGTGATATTTAATCAGTAAGTAGGTCATAATGTTGTGCAAAACTCTTCTTCTCTTTATAACTTTGGGGACAAATTTGGGTAGCCAGGGTTATTCTGTGAGTAAAATCACTAAAATAGCAGTAGTCACAAAATTAATGGGTATTTTTTCTAGATGGAAAGTCCAGTTGTTGAGTTACCTAACGGAAAAATAGAAGGACTCCAAGTAACCACCTATGCTAATAAAACATACTACTCTTTCCAGAAAATACCATATGCAAGTCCACCAGTAGGAACTCTTAGATTTAAGGTAAAATCGTTACTAAGTGCAAACTTATAAATTATAAATATACGTGACATCGTAGGCACCGCAACCTGCTCAAAATTGGGATGGTATTCTTAATGCTACTTATTTAGACACAAGCTGCTATCAATTACAGATTAATCAAGCTTCTGATTCAGAAGATTGTTTGTTCGTTAACGTCTACACACCAGAGGTATTTCTACATCTGTATTATCATCACCCCTTTATATTTCTAATTTTATTATTTTAGCTTCCTACAAATGACCAGAATGTGTCTCTTCCTGTAATGTTTTTCATATACGGAGGTGCATTTCTTCTAGGTTCTAGCATCTTAGCCCCACCAGACCTCTTCGTAAACAATGATGTCATTCTAGTTTCCTTCAACTATCGTTTAGGGGCTTTTGGTGCATTCGTACAATTCCAAAAACCCAAAATTAGTAATAACGATAATTTCAGGCTTCCTTTCAACTCAAGACGAAGTAATTCCTGGAAATAATGGCTTAAAAGATCAACTACTTGCATTACAGTGGACTCACCAAAATATCCACTTATTTGGTGGAAATCCAGACAAAATAACAGTTTTTGGGCAAAGCGCTGGATCTGCTTCAGTTGCCTACCAAATGCTTAATCAAGATTCGGTGGGTCTGTATTTGTTCAAACTTCTGAACCATTCATTATTATTTTAACTATAAATTGCAGGACTTTTCGCCGGAGCAATATTGGAAAGTGGATCATTTCTATCGCCTTGGGCGTTCCAGAGAAATTCTAGACAAATTGCTTTTAACACAGCAGCCATCTTGAATTCAACGTTTTCAAGTAGCAATGACTCTGCGGCTTTGTTGGAATTTTTACAGGGTGTTGCTGCTGAAGATTTAGATGCAGCAGCTGAACAGTACTTAATAAACGTAACTAAGAAAGTTGAAGCATTAATTAACTTGCAAGTAATTTTTTAATAATCTAGCAAACCACTCCGTGGGATTACGCCGTCTCACAAGGCAACTTATTTGCACCTGTAATAGAAGTGAAGAATCCCGATGCTTTCCTTACTAGAAAAATGTATGGACTTCTGCAAGCAGGAAATATCATAAAAGTACCAGTTATGATAGGCTTCAATTCTGAAGAGTCTTTACTTTTTAACCAAGGTATGGAAATTAGGAAGTTTTACTTGTTAGTAATACTAATCTCTAATTGTCTAGATCCAGCTGTTTTCCAAACGGTCTTAGAGGCTTGGGATGCAAAGTTAGATTTGATAGTTCCAAATGACATGCAAATTACTGACTTGGAAAAACACTCAGAAATGGCACTTTCAATTAGAGATATTTATACAGGTGGTGAAACTTTTGGAATTCGTTTAGGGGACGGCATTAGAGTAAATACTTAAATAGAAAAAAAAGTGACCTAGTATCAACTATCATTTTAGTATTGCAGTGACAACTCTTTTACTAGATCTATAATTAAACACGCTGAATTTTACTCTACTTTAGCAGAAACGTATTTCTACCAGTTCTCGTACGATGGAAAACTGGGCAATATTTCTGTTCATTATGATGGTGCTGACAGTGTTGGTCATTCTGAAGAAGCTTTCTACTTATTCTGTAGCGGATTAGGCTGTAACTTCGATTCTTATGTTCCAGAAAATGATCGAATTACGTCAGAACGCTTGATCAAACTTTGGACCGATTTTGCTAAATTCCAGTAAGATACACAAGTATAACTAAGTTTTATTGTAATGAGTGTTTTAGAAATCCTACACCCGAAGTATCGGAATTGTTACAAAATATTACTTGGCCCCCACTTTCCGTCGTTGATGGAGATTTTCTATATCTTGATATTAATGAGAATTTGGAAATTAAAAACCACCCCAAATCTGCTACGTTTGACGAATGGGATAAGCTTTACGAAAATTTGGGCTACAGCGACTTTGATACTTATTAACTTGATTCTTGGTTCAACGGGCTAGATTTTTTATATTAGCTAGATCTGTATAATATTTTCATATATGTCAAGTCACGGGCAACCAAAAGATTTCAGATTATAATGGAGTATAGATGCCTTTAATTAAAACCTTCTCATCTCTCATTATTTGTTCCTATATAAACAATAATAGTTTAAATACATTGACATAAGAAAAAACAGAAGAAGTTGAATGTAAGTACAAAATACTTGACAGATATGAAGAAATAGATAAAGAAAAGAAAATTCTGTCCAATCTTTTCAGACAAAATGCTGTCAATTTTCAGAATCTAATCGTAGTGTTCAGAAAATGTCAATGTCAATCAACGTAAAATAAGAAATTATTATAATTATAAATGTTTCTGTTTTAAGCCCTATAATTTAAAATAAAAATACGGATCGGTATAATATGACGTCATAAATCTTTTAGAGGGATAAATATTTACATCGTCCTTACTATGTCCAATGTAATCTTGGTAATATTTATTTATTAAAATATAAGGTTCGAATTTTAAGCAAACGGGAGTTTTTTTATTTTTTAGGGTACCTAAACGAAATCGCAATATTGTTACAGTTAGCAACAACTAGTTGCAAAACCGATTTGCTCTTTAAAAGGAGGTTTAAATGATGCCATGTATTTCGCAAGGGAATGGCGAAATGTTTGGGTCAGCTAAATCGATTTGGAGAGTGGCAAGTCTACTTTAAAGGAATTATTACGGTAGTGAGTGTCGAACGGGCTAAAAAAAAGTGTGAATGTGGATTGTGTAGACCTTTTGAAAATGTGACAGATATAATGTAAGTATCAAAGCAATATACCGCGTGATCAGAATGACTGAGTCTATTGGCAGTACTTTTTACACGGAAATGTAAAATTTTCTTGCATTTATGTTGGCATAACAGAAGTAATTGTGTGACAAATGTCAGTCGCGATATGCGATGAATTTAGGTAATGTTTTGGATATATTTTGAAAATTAAAAATTCCAACAATCTGTCAATCTTGACAGCTGACAACCGGAAATTATAGAAAATGTGATACCAATTTCAGCTAAAAATCCAAAGTCAGTTTGTTCGCCATTAAGTTTTCGTCTTTATGGAATAAGTGACGATTAAATTCACTCATTATCACCCGCTACTGATTCCCAGCGATTCACGCCTCCCCACATATAATCGTGACATAGCCCGACACAAATTCATTCTCTAGTCATTTCTGATCACGCGGTAGTAACTTCTAGCTAGGCCAGATAATTAATCTTTAGAACAATACATAAAATAATTTAATGAAAATTTAATTCACTGTTGTTTCGACCAATCAGAGGCATTTATTCTTCCAACTAACAACAAACTATTTATGGAAATTTCACACGTTTCCAAGGAACGACATTTAAAAAATTATTTATTGGGATTAATCAATCATATCAATCAAATAGTTTTGGAATTATCATATTTTTATCTATAGTTTTTTTGTCATTTTATAATATTAAAAAAAGCTCAAAATTTGTTCAGAATGAATATGACAACTGCAGCTAATTTTTCAGCGTTTGACTTTCAAAGAGCAAACTAAGTATGTATTGTAATCGAGTTCATCGGGCTACCGCTACTTTCGTAGTTTCTGGACGTTTCATGCCCTTTACCGAACCAAAAAGTAGGTCACCCTTTTCCGTCTGTCTCTTTGTCTCCCTGTCTGTCTATCTGCCGTCCGTCCAGATTTTTATTAAATAGATAATCTCTAAAACTACCGGACTAATTGTTGTCAAATTTTGTAATTATGTTAGAAATATCGTGTAGATGGGAAAACATTTATTAACTAAAATTTGCCTAATCATAACTAGGTACGAACAATGTGACGACATCTCGTCAATTTATTTTTTTTTTGTATAGCAATCTTTTATACAAGTATAAACGGAGTTTCTGCAAGGTTGTTACTTTATTACGTAAAGAGTCTTCAGACTCGTAATGTAAAGCAAATTTAAAAACCATAGCGTGACGGAGAAACACTGGTTTCATCTAAAACTGCTGGGGGAAGAAAAAAGTCAGACGGGTTTGAAAATCACGTTTTTAAAGAATAGTTAGGTCGAGAAATACAACGCTATAAAAATCCTGGCCTTTGCAAATAATATTTTACAATACAATGGATCGAGAAGTTGTTTATACAAAACTAGCTGACCCCGTGAACTTCATTTCACCTACAATTTAATTTTGAATTTGCAAAATCGAATGCTTATAAATCTTGCAGATGTTTTAAACATATGATAAATTTTTATTCAAAATATATTTACTTATCCCCTCCAAAACATTGATGACGTCAGCCCAAAATTTTGCCAAATGAATATCTAAAATGTCCAAAATAGGATGAGACTATACTTGTGATTTATCATTCCATTCAAATTTTTTAGTTTTGCTTATAGGGGGTGTCTCAAAAAAATTAATCGCTGAGTCAATTTATTTTATTGATTGAATCAAGAATTGCAAAACTGAATTTTGAAATATTGCAGACGTTTTGAAGTTACTGTTTGACATGGTAGGTTTTCAATCAAAATATATCTGTTTAGCAAGCCCAAAAACTTGAAGACGTCATCTCAAGATTTTGCCGAATAAATCCTATCTAAAATGTGCAAAATATCGTCAGTACATTTTCGTAATTTATCATTGCATTCATATTTTTTGGATTTGCTTTTAGAGTGACTCAAAAAAATATTTGGATCAGTCATTTTATTTTAGTAATAACCCAAGAGTTGCAGAAATGAATACTTTGAGATCTTGCAGACGTTTTAAAGTTATTGTGAGCATGGTAAATTGTTAAGAATATTTATTTATTCCCCCCAAAAAATTGATGGAATGGCTCACTCGATTTTCGCAGATAATTTTGGGAATACAATACAGTTATTTTTAGTATTACACTGCACCAATCCAAGGTGGTATACGTGTTGATAGTAAATGTTGATTAGGTTATCACAAAATTGTGTAAAGAAAAGACTCAACTCGAAAATGCTGAATATGTTTCATTATACTTTTGGTGCGAACGAAGTTCTGTCTAAACAACGTTCGATCAATTTTTTGACAATCGTTGATATAAATAAAACTCAGTAGATGCTCATACACGAAATACGAAGTATCTACTCGAATATCAAATCAAAATATTTCTAGTTTTTCTAGATGATACTAATACTTCAGTAAGTAACAGTTGATGCTCAAGTAGCATTTCAATACAACAAAAAGGACAACAGTGACAGTGTTCAACCATCAAGGCAAAAATCCAGTCACCAAAATATAAGTTAGTATGGGGTAGACACCTTGAGATGGGAATCTCTATGGCCAGTGTTAGAAGAAACGCACTGCACAATTTATGCATAAATAAAAGTTAATTACATGAAAAGTTTTCGATATTCCTGCTCCTAATGTGTTTTTCAAACTGAATGCACCTTTTGACGACGTTCCACGTTCATGAAAGTCGCCATGTTTAGTTAAAATTCACTCTTACAACGATCCTACTGGTTTTCTAAGCAGCTTTACAGACAGCTCAGTTATTTGCCACGCCGATGCTCATTTCTAGATTAAATGCTCACAAAACGCGTAGATGTTCAGTTTGTGTCCGGGGAGATACAATGTTTCCAAGTAGGTACTCAGTACATAGAGTAGATGCTCAGGTATAGGTATAAGAGTAATAATGAAGTAGGTACTTCGTACTTCGAATATGAGTATCTACTCAGTTTTATTCATACCACCCAATGTCTCGCTTCAATGTTTGATTATGTTGATTATGAGCACAACGCTGATCAACTTTCATATCCGAATTACCCATGAAATAAATCATTGCGGTTTGCACCTGAGGAAGTTCGTCGCACATTTGATTGACTTCGTGGACCTATGTGAGCTTGTCGTCTTCTCGACATTTTAATGAACTTCATATAACGACACAGAATTATTTTCACAGCCAATCAAATCTGTAAATTTTGTCTTAAGAATTTTAAAATATTGAAAACTTCAAATTAAATCCTCGAATAACGGTAAAGTTTGAGGTTTTGTCGAAACCAACAAAGTGAATATAGGTAAATAGAATGGCAGATCAAAATGAATAAGAAACTTTCGCAATGTGTAATTAAATTCACTTTAACCAAGGCTTTTCTTAAAATAAACGACGTTTTTTTTTTACGAAAAAACAAAGAACGATTTGAAATGCAATATACTTTTCACAATCGCACGGAAGAATTAGTTTTGTATGACACGTCAGTTAGACGACAGGTCCGTCAGAAACGCCAACTATTGAAATTAATTCGAAGTGGCGATTCCCATACACAATTTTTAGAATTTTTTTATTTTTTAACTGTTCTTTTAAGTTATCCTTATTTTTTTTATTTATAAACCATCCCCGTAATATAAAAAATTTTTCAAATCGGTCAAGCCGTTTTTGAGTCTTAGCGAGACTAACAGGAACAGCAATTGATTTTTATTTTATAGACGATTAAAAAATGGGGGTTGGTGGTAGAAAGGTGGAAATGTAGGGTTATGTGTATTTTTTGATGCCAAATCTTAAAAAAATAAAAATTAAAAATTTTGTCCAAAAAATAGACACAATTTTTTTAGGGTGGACCACCCTTATCACTTAGGGGTTTAAAAAATAGTTTACAACCTATTGTCAGACCTACCGAATATACATAAAAAATTTCATACAAATCAGTCAACCCATTTCGGAGAAGTTCGGTTACAAACACTGTGACGTGAGAATTTTATACATAATGCATTATTATTTTAGAACAAATTTCATTACCATAAAAAAGGTTACACTGACTCGACCTTAACAGATAGACATATGCTGTCGCGGACTTTTCTTTAGAACTTTTAGAGAGGAACAATTTCGTCATACATGATTTTTACGTAACTTTAATCGTTTAAGCAGCGTAAGCAACGGAAGCTGTCAAAGGAGGAATAATTTTCCCGTTTTTTCGAATTTTTCATTGCTACTTCGCTCCTAATGATCATAACGTGATGTTATATAGCCTATATGTAGATATGATACATGGACTATCCAACACAAAAAGATTTTTTGAATTTGAACCAGTAGTTTCTGAGATTAGCGTGTTCAAATAAACAAAATCTTCAGCTTTATTATATAAGTATAGATTATAAAATCAATTGGTTTCAAATATAAATTTGAAAAATAATCGGAAGATACTTACAGAAAAGCCATATGTAGTTGCCAAACATGAAGTTCCTGAATATTCAAAGAAAACTATTTTCCAGGATCACCGGGCCAAGTATGATATTGCTTTTGATCCTAAATTGACGCAGAAACAGTTATGGGCCTTATTTGAAGCAATTATGTATTTGTAAATGCACCGATCAGGTATGAAACTGATACATTAATAGCACATAAAGGCGGCATTGCTGTGTTGCAATTGCCACCTTACCATTGCCACTACAACCCAATTGAGTTGGCATAGATACGTGTTACTCACTTATGGATTGAAGTTTTGGACCATTTTACGCCACAAATGTGGCACACTAGCATTCACCACTGTGAAAAACTAATATAAGCAAATTGGCGAAAGAAAATGGGCATCTTAAGTCCAGAAAACACAAGTTGATGAACCTGAAATGAACAGTATGAACACCATTTTTCAAACGGGGCTAGTTTATGAAGCTCTTAATGTTTCGATTTGTTTTAATAAAAGTTTTTTGTTAACTTTTCAATCGCGTCGTGTCAGTCAGTTCAAATTCAAAATAATCCCACCACGTCAGTTCATCTACACAATAATGTTCCCGACATTATTGCGTCAAAAAGTTGCGACGTTGGTGGTTTTTTAATTAAAATAGTTATAGAATAGACTGTACTTAAATTGATTTGCAAAAAAATCTCTGAAATTAAGTAAAACATGTTTATCATGTATTTAAAAGTGCTGTGCAAACGAGCATTAATAATAATAATACTGTATCTTCGACTTAGTGCGCCTTTTTTAACCACCCCGTATAAACGACTTTTCAATAAAAAAGAGTAACATGAGCTTTTATTTCGGATAAATTGCCTAACATAGCGGGGATAGAATCGTTTTTCGAACATAGGGATTCTACATCTAAAAATAGAAATTTGGAAATATTGGCTCCTCTAATTATTTTAGAATAACACAAACAACACAATTTGTAGCAAATAAAAAACTGTATTTAAACTATTTTTTATTCTTTTTGTAATATATTGTTTGGAAATAAACCCAAACGCTGCCGCGGTACGACGTCTATGGATTTTCTAGTATGTGCGGCGATGATGGGTGACTCATTGTCGATGACGGTGGCCGGACGTTCGCTAAAGTAAAGCCTGGAAGCGGAAGTCGGGACGGGCAATCCAGAAAAACCTCGACTGGGGAACTTCTAGAAGGGAAGTATAGCTTTAAATACAGGCCACCCTCGGAAACGGTTACTATTCAGCCAATTCAGTCCGCGAGAGTACAGTCGTTGCGCCGGATTTATTTTGTACATACATTTACTTTTTTACGGCAGACTTAAATATAACAATTTTCATTTAATCGTTTCGGAATAAAAGGTAACCCAATGATATGATGACTCAATATTCCAACTCATACATTTATGCTACCGCCACGATATTGGGTGGTAGTAATCAAGAATAAGTGTTAATTTTCTGTACTCCAATATCGGTAGGTTCGTAAGTTAACTTTACCATTTTAAGTACAACTATTTTTACTTACTTTAAACATAGTTTTGGGCATAAAATTTCCATTATTAAATACCTTATTTGCTACCTTCGCGATGGTTTAAAAAAACTTTATCTTCCTTTCTTAGTTCTTTGGACGTTGTTTCTTTAAAATTTTTGAACCGCAGTAAAATGCATCCCCAAATTCTTTCCTTTATTTCTCGATGACACGAATGCATTTTTATCCTCGGCCACAATAAAAAAACATTGTTGCTGGTCCTGGAATTTGTCGGTTTGGGTAAAGTGCTGCAAACCTTGAAATTTCCCGGACTGACAACCCGTCATACTACCATTTTATACAGTTAACTTCCTCCTCTGTGCTTTAATATTTCATATTGTTTTATAAGTATAAAAGGCGCAAAGTTCAGGAATTAGTGACAAATGAGCAACTGTATATGAATTGTCTCATTTTATGTCTAATACCATAAGATGTTATACAATAAAACGCCTAAACGTCTCTAAAACTATGAACACTGAAATGTGGAATAACTGATTTTGTTGTGAAAGTATTTTTTGACATCTTTTGTTTCTACTCAGAGATTGCAACTGAAGTTGTAGTAATAAAGATAGGCAAATTTTTTTAAAAACCCTACCACATAAAACGATCTGTGAATTAATTTCGTATACCTACTATTCATTTATTTCACTCATTGAGCGTGGAACTGCTAGTGATCTTGTGTTTAAAAAAAAATAGATTCAATTTAACTATAAGTATATTTAAAATAGCTAAACAAAAATCAGTGTTATAAGAAAGAATACCACTACTTATGCTTGTGAGAGTAATATAATTTATAGTATAGAAGCACTCATATTATAAGATAATATAGATAAACTTTAATTTCTGAAGAGAACATTGTACAACCCATTTTAAGAAAATTACTTTTTTTTCTTTTAAATAGATAACAAATTTGAAAGAGTGTAAAAACTTTACACTAAGTTGTCCACTTAAGATACTACAGTTATATAAATTACCAAATAACAAACACCTCATTCAAACCACTACAAACATGGACACGAAACTCTTGGCCATTATCAGCATCTGTTCATGCTTAAATTTCGCAGTAAGTACCAAAATCACATGTTAATTTAAATTCAAAAAACTAATTATTTTCAGATTGCTGACCCAATAATTCAGCTACCAAATGGTAAAATACGTGGTCGGCAGGGAGAAACGTCTCAAGGTAACACCTACTACGGTTTTGAAAAAGTACCATACGCTGCACCCCCTATCGGAAAACTACGATTCAAGGTACCATCATTCCTCTAAAAATGTGTTAACACAACGTTATTTTTAAGGCACCACAACCCCCAGAAACATGGGACGATATTCGAGACACCATCGGCCGTGACGTTTCGTGCTACCAACAATCCGCAAACGGCGACTTCGAGTCCGAAGACTGCCTATTCGCCAACATTTACACCACCGTTCTTCCCAGCGAAGACAACACCACCACCTTACCAGTGATGTTTTTCATGCATGGTGGCGGCTACGTCGGCGGTTCAAACATGTGGGAACAACCCGAAAACTTTCTTGATCATGGAGTCCTTGTGGTCGTCATTAATTACAGACTGGGACCTTTCGGGTTTCTTTCAACCCAAGATGAAGTAATTCCTGGAAACAACGGTCTGAAGGACCAGCAGCGTGCAATTCAATGGACCTACGAAAACATTGCCTTGTTTGGAGGTGACCCTAATATGATAACGATTTTCGGGCAAAGTGCGGGGTCATCCTCTGTGACTTATCAGCTGTTGAATAGAGGTATTGAAGGCATGATACGGGGAGGAATTTGCGAAAGTGGCTCTTATCTGAGCCCATGGTCTTATCAGAGGCGTGCAAGAGAGATAGCGTTCGCTACAGCGGCGATTTTGAATGACACTTTTCTCACAAATAACAATTCCGAAGATTTGCTTCAGTTTTTGCTGACTGTGTCGGCTAAAGAGTTGGATGATGCTTCAGATAAATATCACGATATTGTGAGTATGAAGGTGTTGGTAAATAAAATTATAATGACTTTATATACCTATATAGGAAACTCCTGCGGACCTTGAATTGTCACAAGGATTCTATTGGGCTCCTGTCGTAGAAGTGAAAAATGAAGATGCATTCATGACTAGAAAAATGTACGGGTTGCTTAAGGCTGGCAACTTTATTAACGTACCTATATTAATGGGGATTAACTCAGAAGAGATGCTGTTTAATAATTGGGGTATTTTTGTACAATTGTTAACCAGAAAGCTGAATATATAATTTTAGATCATGACAAGATGAAAGAAACTATGGCTATTTATGATGAGCATCCTGAATGGTTAGTACCCAAGGATATGCTCATTACCGATGAAGACAAACTTTTGGAAATGGGACTAGCTATTAAAAAACTCTACACCGGTGGAGAACCGCTTGCTGACCATCTCGGTGATGGAATCAGGGTGAGTTTCATCTTTGTAGTAGGACGCAAGTTATAACTCAACAATGTGAAAATTTAGTTCTACAGTGATAATTCGTTCACAAGATCAGTGATAAAGTATGCCGAGATAGCATCACAGTTTTCTCCTGTCTATTTCTACGAGTTTTCGTTTGATGGTCAAATCGGAGGTTATGATATTAATTATGAGGGTGCCGAACATGTTGCTCACAATGAAGAACTCAACTATATTTTTGGAGATTCCGACTACCACGAATATCCAGAAGCGGATCAGTTAACTCAGCAAAGAATGATAAAAATTTGGACAGATTTCGCTAAATATCAGTGAGTATTTTCATTTTAGTCGTTAGGTACTTGAATGAAAATATTTCAGAAATCCCACACCAGAACCCACGGAGCTCCTACAAAACGTAACATGGCCTTTGGTGAATACTGAAGGAGGAGATTTTTTGTATGTCGATATCAACGAGAATCTTGAAATTAAGAATCATCCAAAAGAAGAGACTTACACTGGATGGAACGTGCTATATGACAGTTTAGGTTATGATGATTTTGACACCTATTAAAGTCAAAGTGTAATGAACTTGCGGATTTTGACAATTAAATATGTCTAATCGGTTGAGGTAGTTCCTTCATTTAAGAAAAATACTGGCTTTAAAAAACACAATTGTACCCACTTTCCCCTACTTTAATCTCCGGATTAGCACTATCACTGTGTAAACTCTTTTCTCACAATTGTCTTAAAATTCAGCAATTGGTTAATATTGACTCAAGAAATGTTTATCGTGTCACTGCAGAAGTTTACAATAAGATTAGCGCCTAAGATTTGCCATATTTTATTTAGGTTTTTAATTATGTACAAATCTTGCTCGTCTACTTCCTTCAAAACAACACCACAGGAAAAGTTTCAGCTGTTTTAAAACAGCATCTTCATTCAATGTCAAATCTACTTCTTACTCCTATCTGTAAACTTTGTCCTCAAGTTTCATACAGTTTTCTTTTTTCTGCATGTTCTTCCGTAAAACAATTATTTGCAAACGCCATTCTTTCATTGTTTACATCATTATTCATAATCCGTTTTTTGCATTTTTCATCTACTTTAACATATGCCAAAATTCTTTCCATTGCAATCATTTCAGTTTCTAGTTCTGTCCATTTATAAATTCCGCGTTTAAAAAGTTCTATTAAAATTATAGTTTGAGATAAAACTAGACTTCCATCTCCAAATTGCTGGTGCGCTGAAAGAAGAGTTTTAATTTATACCTAGATTTATACCTAGAAATAAAACAAACTTACCATTGTCTACAGTCAAAAAAATTATAACGATTATTGTCATATAACCAGCGCAGACAAGATCCATCAAAAATGCAAATGATTTTACAAGACACTGAAAGGTAAAATATGACGAATTGTTCAAATCTAGGTGTTGTTCAAATTCATTTTGCAGTTTTTCTTGGACTTGGGAAGCACTGATTGTTGCTAAACCGTTCAGATTTGAGTAAATGTAATCAAGTATAGGACTTCTCGCTGAAAAACAAAATTAACGATAGAGTTAAAACGGGTTAAAAGTCTTACTGGAAGCTTCTAGTCGTCTAAAATTTCGCAAAGAATAAAGACACCATCGTCTAAGTATAACCAGTACGCAGAGTAAAAGTCCGAGTGGTAAAAGACTAAATCCACCTATGTGTGACATAAAAATAATAAATCCTAACACCTCCAAGAAAATCTAGAAAGAAAACAACAGTGTTGTATGCAACCACAGAATGTCAATTTCTTACTTGTAGCAAGTCCCTATAAATGAAAATAATTGAATCGTCTATTATGGAAAGATCTTTCGAAAATCTGTTTAAAATGTTTCCTAAGAAAACTTTTTCAAAGCACTCCATTGGAAAGTAGACAATACTTTTACACACCATTCGATGCAGACGAATTGAAACTTTTTTAGTAAATACAAAGCATATCAAGAAATTTGTAAACATTGTTGCTGCTATCGCTATTGTCATAATTCCATAGACTTGGAACAGAGATTTTTGACTTTCTTGACTACTTGTCTCATTTAACTTGTGGGTTATGTTTGTGCTTTCTTCTAAATAAATCCTTAAAAATTGTCCTTGATAATCGTCTTTGGTAAATGATTAACTTACCATAGAGTGATTAAATTGTCAACGTAAGTTTTTTCTATTTCAAACAATAGAAACATACTGAAGATTACTAACAAGAGCACTACACTTCCTCCCAGAGATAAATATTTTTGGTATATCTTGAAAGCCACCTTTTTTGAATTTATGTTGTCTTCGAATGTCATTTGGTTTCTTGGATTCTCAATTATCAATTTACATTCCTCATTTTCTAAACTCTGTGTATCACCTAATTCATAAATCTCGTCGTCAAAAATGTTTCCAGCTTTTCCAACGCACTTGTCATTTTCCTGCAGAGAACTACAAGTGTGGGTTGCAAAAATCACGATTTTGTCTTGAAGAAATTTGTGCCAATTGGAAATTAAATCGCTTGTATCGTCACCAAATTCTGTTAAACAATCGTCAAAAAAGTAGACCTGGCTTTGTCTGTAGATAGTTCGCGCTATATTGATTTTGGTCTTCAAGGATTTATCTAAATTTCTACCGTCACTGACCACCATCGTCGAATCTCTATCTTTCAAAAGTTCTAAGTTTTCAAACAACTTACAAACTTCTAAAACTTTCTGATATCGATTGTCTTCGTATTTTTCTCCAAATACGATATTCTGACGAATCGTGGAGCTGAACAACCATGGTTTCTGACTTGCGTATGACATGTTCTTGTTTTCGGTCATACAAGTCTTTAGCAAAGCTGATACGAAAATGTCTCGTTTGCAGTTTGGTAAATCTGGCAACCAAGTCAGTCCTTTGTGGATCTTAAATTTCTTAACATAGATGTTTGCAGCTTCGTCTTCGTTCTTCCTGTGTCTTTCTACGTCGTCAAAGAATGTTTTAAATCGTCTTATGATTGTTATCAGCTCAGCTGCTTGACAAACAGCTTGTGGAAACAGAGTACCAAAGCTTTCTGACAATGTGGAAAAGCCACTTATAATAAAGAGAAGTGTGTCGATCGTCATGGAGTAACCAAACAAGGTGTAAACAACGAGAAAAGCGTATAAGGATCCTCTTGTAACGACATCAGCAACTGTCAGACTGAAAGCTTTCAAGTAGAAGAGTTTGTGAATCGTTTGGACTTCTTTTCGTCTAATGTTACAAATAGCATCAAGGCAGTCTTCTGGGTCTATGTTTGTAGTTTCAATTTGGGTTAAGGTTTCTTGAGTAGATTGTAGTCGTTTCTCTGTTTTTTGAAACATTTGCGTTTTCTGATGGGCAACATTTTCAGCGATCAATCCTAAAAAATTATTTTTTTTGTTAAGGTTCCACAGAAAAGTGCATTAGTACCTTGAATAGGTACCATCAATGTGATAAAAAATATCGTAATTAGAATAAGAGGTCCTGCTTTTCGGTAAAGTATGTAAGAAATACTGAGTAACCTTATAGGTGCAATCCAGAGCTCGTTTCCACAATCTATGAAATTTTCAATCACTTGAACGTCTTTAGTAAAGAGAGTGATTATTCTCCCGATGGAAATATCGTCAGTGTGGACGAAAGTCAGAGTTAGAATTCTTCTATAAGTAAAGGACAATAGTGTTGTGCGTACTTTAATGCTCAGGCCTTTCAAAAAAAGAAAATAATTCTGGTTGAAGATACTTTGTAGTAAACTGAAGATTATCATAAGAACAACATAAAGAACGACATGAAGTTTGTTTGTTTCTTTTGCTGAAAAATAAGACAGTAGTTTTTCTACAATGTGGGGTTGAACGATTCTGTAAAATTTAATTTTGTGATAATGTAAACACACTAATTTACACTGTACTTACGTAAAAATTGTATCAGCTAGGAATTTCATGAGACCAAGACTTAAATAACACAGGCCGAAATATTTCGCGATAATAAAAATTATTCCGTTTTTGCTGTTCCATTCACGCTCTAAATTGCAACGCAACTTTTTCGCTTTAAAAGCTGGAGGTACTTCGTATAAATCGTCTTCTGTGAAACTCTTTTGGTACCCTCCTCTTAACAATTTAATCGCGTAGCTGAAAAAAACTCTCATGTGGAATTACAATTTTGACTGGTGTATCAAACTTACCAGAAGAACACTCTCGACAAGACAGCTGCGGCATTATAGGGGTGATTGATTCTCTGCTTTTGCGGTTGGTGTTCCATTGTGAAATGTTACGATTGTTTCAGTAAACGGTACAGAATTGTAGGTAATAAGATTAATTATAGCACTGTTTTTGTAAAAATATTTTTGTGGTAATTATGTGATATCGTCATTAGTAACTAAATTATGTGTACAACACACTAAAACGTTATTCGACTCATAAACAAAAACATGTTATTTTATTGGCAGGTACAATTAAACAAGATAACTGTTGTTGATTTTACAGATATACGCTTAGTAAAATGAAGTATAGGAAGTACCTGTTAAAGACGTGCATAAACAACAATGAATGGAAAAATGTGGCTAGATAATCTTATAAAAACTGATAAAATAGAGTTCAAATGGGGACAAATTTTGTCCAGAAACAAATTATTATGATATTTATTTATTCTTAACTTGGCAGAGTTCATTTATTTAAAGTTCTCCTTTACTTAAATTGTATTACAATATTTTGCATTTCCTGGCGAAAAAAGTAAATTTGAGCCCTATATAAATATTACACCACAAAATTGCAAACGCAAGGTTTTTTTAATTTTTGTTAAACTTACCCACAGAATAGAACTTATTTCTTGTATAGGTACGCTTATTTACTCTTGGTGCAATACGCACCAGCTATTTCAAAAAAGTATTCCAAAGTTTTTAGACAGATCTTTCGCCCTCTGTGAAGCCTTTTGACATAAAATGTAAAAACTGATTGTAGAATTAGAACTGAAATAAACATTACAACTGAATATTATCTTACACATTTCAAATAAGATCCCCTTAGCGAACCTTTGAGTTGACGTCATAAAAATTTTAGACATTATCTACAGACATACTTTAGATAGGGTTTATAGATAGAATGATAGAAGCTGCTGTAGTAGAATGCTCTCATAGCCCTTGGTCGTCACTTTTGTTTTGATGGTCGCGTCTTAAATAATGTAACAAAACATGACAGCTACCCGTACTGTCAATCGTATCGTAAGCCTTCTTGGTAAAGGTAACCACATTTCGTCTATAGACCTTAGGTCAGCGTTTTGACAAATCCCCTTGACAGCTTCTAGCAAAGAAAAAACCTTCTTCCCCGTACCTGGTAGAGGCCCATTCCAATTTACAGTTGTCCCGTTCTGTCTACGTAATGCCGCCCAACTTCAACAAAGGCTCATGGACGCGCTTTTCGGTTTACGTGACGAACTGTGTATTTTTCTCTATTTAAGTGTTATTATTGTTATTAGTAAGACTTTTGAAGAATATGAGCAACTACTCAATGATGCCTTCTTTATTTTATCTTCCGCCAATCTTACGATTAACTTAGATAAATGTCGCTTCTTTCGAGATTCTCTTAAATATCTTGGGTATATCGTCGATTCCTCGGTTCTGCACACTGATCCTGAGAAGGTTGCGGTGATGGTCAACTACCCCACGCCTAAATCGACTACCGAAATTAAGCGTTTCGTAGGTTTATGTTCTTGGTACCGTCGCTTCATCAACCACTTCTCTAGTCTTATCGCCCCTATTAACGAACTCCTAAATGGAAAACAGAAACGCCAAAGAATCACGTGGACAGAACAAGTTAACGCCGTGTTCAAGGAGATAAAACATTTAATGTTTTATGATAAAATTTTTATTTTCATTAGTTTTTATGATTCCTTTATCTTTTTTTTTTGATTTTATAAAACATGCTTTATCATCTGCTCCTGTTGCAGTTAACCCAGACTTCTCTCGTCCGTTTACGATACAAACGATGCTTCTGATAATGGCCTCTGGGCAGTACTTACTCAGAACTTCGAAGACGAAGTAATCGCTTACGCGAGTCGGTCCTTATCTAAAACCGAACGAAATTATAGCGTAACTGAACGAGAATGTTTAGCCTTAGTTTCCGCGCTTGACAGATTTCGTCCATATGTGGAAGGTACCCATTTTGCGGTAATAACTGACTACTACTTACTATTGTGGCTAAACAGATAAAAGACCTGGCAGGCAAACTCGCAAGATGGAGTGTTAAGCTGAACCAACGTTCATTTGACCTTGTCCACTGGAAGGGCAAGTCCAATATAGTCCCGGACGCTTTATCTCGTGCTTCTCCTACCTCCCCTGAAATTTGTTCATTAACGTCAACTTATCTGGACGTCACGATTGACGATATTGACCAAGATTATGCCCGTTTTTGCGAACGCATTATAGCTAACTCACAAAAATATCCTCAGTGGAGGGTAGAAAAACCTTCTATCTTCAAAGATCTCTCTTCTAAGACATCACTGCCGAGCAACATCCCTGAGTGGAAATTCCTAGTTCCTAGGAGCCAAATACAGCACATACTAAAAGTCTGTCATGACGATCCAAAGTCAGCCCACAAAACACTCGAACGAATCACGACACTCTATTATTGGCCTAAGATGGGCAAAACCATCTATCGTTATACACAATCTTGAAAAGTGCGTCAAGCTCAAAAGGCACCTCATGTGGCGCGCACCGGCCTAATGGGTAAGGAAAAAAGTGTTGCATTCACTTGGTAAATAATTTCTGTCGATTTAAGACGTCCTCTTCCACGCTCTTCTAATGGATTTACCTATCTTCTCGTCATCGTACACTGGTTTACTAAACATCCCATTCTGTGCCCATTGCGAAAGGCAACCAGTGTCGCTGTTACTCAGTTTGTACAGGATAATGGAAAACAGTTAGTAGGGCAAGACTTTCTCAACTTATGTCACAATCATAAGGACCAAAAGGTTTGGTTCACCGCCAAATACCATCCCCAGTCGAACCCAGTTGAAAGGTACAACAGAGCTATAAATACCACGATCAGGATCCACAAATGCCACAAAAAATGGGACTCCGAAATCCATAAGATAAGCTATGGAGTAGAGTCTTTCCGTGTTCCGGTAAATTTTATGGTAAGGTTAAGAGAAATCCAGAAACCCTTTTCGCCTGTGATCGTAGCGTATATGCATAAGATTTAGGTTATCTGAAGGATATTTTCGAAAAGGTTATAGCACGCTTACATAAGGCCCATTCCCGTTATGAGCACAACCTTTGAAAACGAGACGCTGAATTTTTTATAGGAGGTAAGGTCTGGAGGTACAATAAGATGGTATCCGACGCTTCGAAAGATTTCTCGCAGAAATTAGCACCCCGATATATTCTTTGCGCCGTACATCGAAACCCCTCGAAGGTGTCATATGAGTGGGTTGATTCTAATGGTCTAAACATTGGTATTTGCCACATCAAACACTTAAACACTTAAAGCCTTATACTGGATCAATAGGTTCACCGTCTGATGATCCTGCCTCGAGTTAGTCTGTTTCACATTCCGTTAGAGTTTGTTACGTTAATTTCACTCCTCTGCAGAATTTGACACTTTCCCAAATTTCTTCAGCACTCACTTGCAATCTGACGTTGGAATGTATGCTTTCCAACCGCATGGTATGCGTAGTTACCGCCTCTTGACTTGGAGAGGAAGTTAGCAAACATAATTTAGTACGCAGATATTTTAAATTTATTGTAAGTATTTTTAAGTACAATCCTAAGAAGAAAATGTTCGGATATTAAATCCCATTTTCTTCCTCCCAAGGGGGGGGGGGGGAGAGTGTAACATTAAAAAGTCTCAACTAGGAACCTCGGATGATTTGTTAAGAAGGTGTCCCCAGTACGAAGGTGGACGCCCGGTTGCTAACAAGCGGTGGTACCGAGGCCCAGAGGTGGCGCCCTCGAGAGAGGAAGGCGCTGCAGAGAGGGTAGAGTGCGCAAGGAGGAAGGTGGTGCGATGAAAAAGGTGCTGCGAGGTGGCTTAAAGGTAACTCACGGAGTAGTTTGGTTCGGTTACGCCATTAGATGCCCCACAACGTTTTTCTTGAGTTGAAGTCAGAAAGAAGGAACCCCCAGCAGCCACCGTTACAACGCCAACGCCTACTCGTGCCGAACTAACCCCGCGGTTGTAAGTCTGTAGAAACCGTCGAAGTGGCACCCAAACCCAAGATAACTTCTCCTCAGTAAGGAAAAAGACTCTCCACACAACCCAATAGCTGCCGTAGCCTTACTGATGTAGATTAACGCGACAAATTATCTTGATTGACGATTTGGTCTACCAAACTTTTGCTTGCCAAGTAAATACACTCTGATAACCTAAACTTCCTGCCTTTTAAATTTGACCTTGAAACATTTTGAAAGGCCCGCGCAAAATTTAAAAATTCAAAAGTTGGGCCTTGGCTGTGATCCTCTAACAAATAGGAACCTACGTTGTGTGTTTTTTTTTTGGTTTTGAAAAATGGCGGGAAGATGTTCTTTCATACAAGTGAGCATATACTGCATGTGAGTTGAGAGCGCAACAAATAATAGACAAAATTGTTTTGGAGGGGGGAGTACGGCACCCCCCTCACAGGAGGAAAGACGCTACGAAGATTTACTCCTCAGCGCAAAAACCCCCTTTTTGTTTTATTCCCGGACATATTACATTTCAAACACCTTAAGATATATGAAAGAAAAACACTCGCGAATTGACAGACATACACATATGAAAAACGAACAAACGGAAATTCTATACATCTGTTTGGAATCAATGCAAATATTTGAATATCACAAATTTAATAAAATAAAGCAAAAACTGAATCAAGTAACTGGATGCAAATACACACGTTATTACAGGCGTGTGGCGGTCGAACAAAATATATATCAATTTCATTTACGAGCACAACAAAATACCCAGAGGGGGCGGTGTAGCGCGAGTAGAGGTTGGGACTCCTGATCGTCACTGTTCTCCCCCCACGACGGTGATTCTATCTACACCAAAGCCTGCTCACACGCACATCTCCATTACGAACGTGCCCTGCGAAACGAGGCGGTTACGATCGCAGATCCGTAGTTGGGTCTCGGCTAACACGAAACCGGCAGCGTTAAAAACCCGCGATCGCCCCCTGACGCTATACAAACCCACGGACTTGTGCAGACGACGCGATCAATCCCGTCAGTCTGAGAAGGAGTGGCGCGCCCCACGTACACTACGAGTTATGTGTTATTTACCTACAATTCCATTTTAAAATATTCAGTCTCTTATAACTCTGATGTTAACAACAACTGAACAAGTGTTTCAAAGAGCAATAAACAACGTTTAGATTCGCCATACAATCTTCTGAAATTTTAAACAACAAATAAAATTCTTATGTGAGATTAAAGTTGGACATCAAACTATTTATGGGATAGAAACATTCATCAACAAAGTATTTACAAAACAAAACTTAGCAAGGATTTATGAAACAAAAGATCTGGTGTGAAATAAACTTGTACAAATAGAAATATTATGTGAGGTTAAAACCGTCGAAAATGAAATTTACGTTCCATTAAAATTATACAACAAATAAAATTACTGAGGTTAAGATTGTGAGATTAAGAAATATAGTATGAGGTGGAAAATTGCAGAGTTAACAAAATCTACAGGAGATTAATATTCGCCACACTTTATCAACGGTTCAAACAAAGAGTTTACGTTACGTCAAATTATATCATGATCTAAATGATTGGTTACTTCAAAAATAATTTACTTTGAGAGTTTAAAATACCACGAACTGGTTACCCCAACAAAACACATAATAAACAAACACAAAAATATCCAATCATCGCTCCGATGAATAAGCGTCTCGGGGATGTAAATTTTAAAATCGTTGCGAGGAATTGCCTCGATCATCATGTTAACGATGATAACCACCTAAGGGAAGAAAATATCATAACCCCCCCGCCAGTTCGCAGTATAATGAACTTGTTTAACTGCCGTAAATAAACTATTAGCAATCTTGTGTGAAGAATTTACAAGTGTTATAATGTAACACTTACGTATATGCAGCCAGAGACCTATTCCTAATTAAACATAAGGCGTTTTTCCTGACTAATAAGTGAATTTCATGAAATCTTCTAGCAAATGGTTTATTTAAATAATCCTGATTGTTAAATTGTGTTTGTTCTAGCTGAGTATTAAGAAAAACTAGCTTGATTGGTGAATTTACAAACAATGAAACAAAATTTACAGCACGTGTTCGCGTTCGACCGGAAGTCCGCATTTCTCCGATTAAAAGGCCGCAAGAATTAACCGCGCGGGTTGGGGACAACTGTATCATTATGAAAAATACGTTTGATTGTCATTAAACAAAGGCTTCCTACCGTTTTGTTAACTACCAAACCAACTAATTTAAACCTAGCGCTTACCACGTGGTTACACTCTCACAGGCACATGCAGAATGAAATCATTCTACGCCATGCAGCTTCTCTCTACCAACCCTCTAACTGAAATCACCCTAGCGCTACGTGCTGCCATCTAACTCAATGATCATGCAAACTAACCCCTAAGCGCTACGTTCATTAGACTAGACATGCATATTTGGTTGCTTATGTTTAACGATTTCCTTTTCGTGATTTAAATTCGGTCACCACAACACATTCGATTATTGGTAATTCTGGAACCAAAGATTACATTTTTAGGCTGAACTAGTTTCCCGATGTCTTTTTTGATCTATTTTGAGGCAATTCTCTTTGAGATGAAGCCATAACAACTAATGTTAGGAAGGTTCACTTATAGGCAACGGTCGATATTTCAGCATTATTTTACTGGTTGCCTGCTCTTTAATGAAACACCAATTACCTCTTTTCAGGTAAGCTTATCAACCAAGAAGTGCTCAATCTGAAGAATAACTAAACTTCATCTAACAATGCTAGAAGTTCACACGAGTGCAACACATTCGCTCGGTTATCGAAGCGAATGTTAGAGTCTCTTAGTCTTTTAATGCTTAACTTTAAAGCATATGGATGAATACATAGTGTCTTCAAACTCACATATGTGTCTCATTTGAGTTCAAAGAAATGTAAGGATAATTTAAAAAGGGGTCGTTTCACCAACCCACACGTGAATTTGGAAACTCCAAATACTTAAAACTAACTGCAGTATGCCTATAAGTTTCACAAATTCTACAGAAAATGATTTCTTGTCCATATAGGAACTTTCTTCCACGCTTCTCTGGCGTCGAGTGATGAAATCGTTAAAAATTACGACAAGATTTGCTAAAGACAACATACTGATAGCTTCTAAAAGACTCTCGAATTTGGGGAACAGTTGATGCATCAAAATCCGTGGAATTTTAGATCCCTCTAGAACCAAAACCTCATATATTTTTTTTTAATCAGTTCACGATTGTTCACAATTTTGTTAACGTAAACATAAAGAACAATAATCGTTTCAGGTAGATTAAAATAAACAGTACATATCTTGGAAATATACCAAATGTTATGATAAGCAGAAATGTACGAGTACTATACTCACCGTTGTGATATTATCATCTAAAGTTCGATATAAAAATAACTGTTATCAACAACCATACATATATTTTGTTTCTGTTCGTGCAGTTAGTGCATAACCACTACAATGGATAAATATATGTTAATACTGGGTCTTACTCTCGCACAAGTTGTAATTTCGGTAAGAAACTTCATTATTATAACAACAGCCTTCGTCGATAACTCTATTTTTGACTTATAAAGACATCAGAAGATCCTCTGATCCAACTACCTGATGGACAAATACAAGGTCGCCAAGATGTAACCTCTGAAAATAAAGCGTACTACGCTTTCGAAAAAATACCATATAGCGCTCCACCCATAGGAGATCTACGATTCAAAGTAGGAGATCATGCGTCAGCCAATTTAAAACTTACAAAGATGTTATAGGCACCACAACCTCCTGAACCGTGGGAAGGTATACTTAATACTACTCATTTAGATATTTCGTGCTATAACATGAAAATGATGATGCGAGCGATGCCGGGTGTTGATCAGTCAGAAGATTGCCTTTACCTTAATGTTGCCACGCCGAAAGTAATTAACTAATCTCAATCTAATTAACTACTAATAACAATTAATTTGAGAATTTTAGCTTCCATCTGAGGGAGACGAAGAACTTTTACCCGTCATGGTTTGGATCTATGGAGGAGCGTTCATGGGAGGATCTGCTACAAATAATCCACCCGACCTGTTCGTGAATAACGATGTTATTTTAGTTTCCATGAATTATAGAGTGGGACCTTTTGGTATCGATGGCAAACACATAGAATTTTGCACATTTAACTAAAAATAAATTATAGGTTTCCTGTCAACACAGGACGAAGTAATACCAGGCAATGCTGGTTTAAAACTATTAGCTCTAAAGTGGACTAACCAAAACATACACCTCTTCGGAGGAGATCCTGAAAGAGTTACCATTTTTGGACAAAGTGCAGGAGGTGGTTCTTGTGCATATCAATTGTTAAATCAGGAGTCATCAGGTGACGCTACAAATTTTAAAACTCCACAAGCCCTTAATTCTTTTTGGAACTTCAGGTTTATTTCAAGGTGCTATTTTAGAAAGTGGAACTTTCCTCAGTACAGGCATGTTCCAACGAAATTCAAGAAAAGTAGCTTTTGGAACAGCAGCAACTTTAAACTCTACTTTTGAATCTAGTGACGACTCTCAAGCGCTACTTGACTTTTTGCTGACGTTGGATGCTGAAGATTTGAATGAAGCAGCAAATCAGTACAATGCAGCTGTAAGTTAGTCTTCCTAACTAAAGAGACTTGCTAAAACCAGTTCTAATTCAGTCAAGCAACTCTTGGGACGATTTAACAGAACCAGGGCGTCCTTACGCACCTGTAATTGAAGTTAAAAATCCCGATGCAGTTCTAACTCGGAAACAATATGGTCTTTTAAAAGCTGGTAACATTCTGAAAGTGCCAGTTCTTATGGGTTTTACGTCTGAAGAAAAAATCGGACCGTATCAAGGTTTGTGTTCTACATGATTTGGACTTGTGTTATTGTATGGTCTTTAGATCCGGAGAGTCTTGTCGATATTGCAGCAACGATAGACGAAAATCTAGATGTTATCGTTCCTGCCGATATGCAGATTACTGATGCGGATAGTCTCACTGAAATGGGACGTCTAATCCGAGAGATATATACGGGAGGAGAAACATTCTCAAATGACTTAGGAGGTGCTGTTAGGGTACGTTTATGAATAGACAAGTTTTGTCTAAAAAAGTCAATACATTTTGTAGTACGGCAGCGATACCTTTCTCAGTAGAGCAATGATTAAACATGAGGAGATTTTTTCTCAGTTTGCCGAAACATATTTTTATCAATTTTCATATGATGGAAGTTTTGCTCATAGTGAATCTCCTTATGAAGATGCTGGCAATGTGGGGCATGGTTCAGAACTAAGTTATATATTCTGCAGTGGTACTAGTTGTACAGATAACAGTTATCCAGAAGAGGATTTGTTGGCACGTCAGAGACTGATTACCTTGTGGACTAATTTTGCTAAGTACCAGTAAGATTTGAATATATTTTAAAATTTTCCTAAAATTTGTACCTCTGTTTTTTGACTAGACATCCAACTCCAGAGCCACTAGAACTGTTGCAAAATGTTACTTGGCCTGCTGTTTCTACTGAGAATGGAAATTTCTTTTATCTGGACATTGGGGAAAATCTTGTTGTCGAGGATCATCCGAAGGGAAATGCTTTTGCTATGTGGGTTGCGCTATATGACAGTTTAGGTTATGATGATTTTGACACGTACTAGTATATGTGGTAATGAAATTAGATACAGAATTATAAAAATGTTATCCCATATCTACAAAGAAGTTTTATTTAATTTTAGGCACGTTTTCAACCTTGAAATTGTAGTCCACCAATTGTTTGATGCAAACTTCAGTTATCATTAAGGAAAATTTTGATATTTTTTCATATCCAGGGGCCCTCTCAGGTCAAAATTAAACGAAATGTGTTTTGAAATCTAACAAAAAATATTTTCTGTACAGGTTTACGAGAAATTAAGATTGGTAAACAACATATAAATGTACTTTTGTCTACCGATTAACGCAAATGACAATATTGATCACATTGAAATTGCATTTGAATATTTTATGATACCCAAAATATAGTGTTAAATGTTGTACTCTACAAATACAATCTTTCAAAGAGAAGTCAATTTCACAAATAAAAAATAGCTACTACTTCAATTGCTGAAAACTATGGAATTAGAAATAATCGATTTTATTTTCAGCTGCGGTAATATTTTGTGCCTCACACCTTTATCAACAAATCGGAATCGAAAAAAAAGTTGCTTTCATAATGTGTCTGCTTTCCTTATATTTTTCATCATAAGTATGGTTCTTATTTATAGTGTTTATGCAACCAGACTATTCTGTACAAAACTAACATTAGTACAATGTAATGTGGGATTATTTTTAGTTCTTGCATATTACGGACAATTGATTTATATATTTACTAGCTGTTACCCGCAGCTCTGCTTGCGTGGATTTCGCAATTAGGACACATTATTTTTCATCTCCTTATTTATTTGTTGATTTCAATTTATATTATTTTTTAAGTTTGTGGAGGATTCATTAATAATAATAACAACATATGTATAAAAGTTTTTGTCCTGTCCGGCTGACTGATTCATCAACATAACTACTGGAGCTATAAACATGAAATTTGGACAAAAGTTTTCTTTCGTAATGTGAAACAAAACTATTCTAACAAAAATATAATATAATAGTAACTATACTTAATACATATATTCTATTTATTTCAATTACGGAAATAAAAAATTATAACAAAGAACAAAATTAATTTGTTACTAACAAAGTACTTCTTTGTATACCACATTCGTCGTAAGCTTTCCATGTGCTAGAATTACCAGACGACTCGCGGCACTCACTCTGGAACAGGCCACATAGAACTGTCCATGAGAAAAACAGTCTTCCAGCAGGTCTATTCCGGCCATTTTCAATGTTTGACCTTGTGCTTTATTGATAGTTATTGCGAAGCAGACCTTCAGGGGGAACTGCAACCTTTTGAATTCAAATGGGTATTCTGACGGTATTAAAGGTATTCGTGGTATGAATACCTTTTCCCCTTGAGCACATCCCGTGATTATCGTGGCCTCTACAACATTCCGGTGGAGAGCCGTTATTTGCAATCTGGTGCCATTGCATAACTTTGGAGGGTTCAGGTTCCTTAATAGCATAACTGGTGCGCCAATCTTAAGTGTGAGATTATGAGGGGGAAGACCAGCTGGGTTAAGCGTATTTAAAAACTCGACTGGATAATTTATAGCATCATCAGTTTGTACTACCGAATCCATGGATTTATATTGAATTTCTTCTCCTTCAAATGATTTTAACAAAAGATCGTTAATACCAGCCGCTCTATCATTTTTGGGAGTCAAAATAGCACGTTCGCATAACCAGTCTATGGGTTTTGCCTTGAGATTGATGATGTCGGGGTAAATTTTGTTGGTTAGTTCTGTAAGAGATTCTACTACCGTAGCCAGAGTTGGTGGTATAATAATCTTACCATCAACTGTAGGGTAATTTCCATCTCCTATTTGAAGCACAGTCTGTGCAAACTCACCAACGGTAGCATCATCTCCTAAAAGTACTCTCATATTTGTCTTTAAGGCGAGCTTCTTAATTTGGGGCCACAAATACGATGATTTTAAACATGACCTCACTTCATCGGCTCGTGTTCCCCTTGGTACGACGGGTAAGGTTTGTCGAAAGTCTCCAGCTAAGAGAACCGTAACATCAAACTACTATTTTCTCTTATATCTCGCAGAGTTTTACTGAGAGCTTCTACGCCTCCTTTACCCATAAAGGAGGCGTAGAAGCTCTCAGTAAAACTCTGCGAGAATGCACTATGGCCCACCATAGTGCATTCATCCCATACTATAAGTTTTGTTTCTTTCAAGACTTGCGCCATATTGCTCTGCTTTGAAATGTTGCACAGAGGTGTCTCTACACGCATTAGATTTAAGGGTAATTTAAAAGCAGAATGCGCTGTTTTACCGCCATCCAGCAACGTGGCTGCTATGCCAGAAGAAGCAACTGCCAAGGCTATCCCGCCATTTTTTCGTACTCTAGCCAATAATAATTTTAAAAGAAACGTTTTACCCGTGCCTCCAGGAGCATCCAAAAAGAATACTTGACCAGTGCCATTCTCGATACTATCTAAAACTTGGTTGTAAATTTGATATTGTTCTGTATTTAATAAACTTTCGTTGTTGGATACTACTTGAGCCAATAAAAGTGTGTCATAGCTAATCTCTCTGAGATAGTCTCTGTTGTATGACTTCTTCACGTCTTACAGGCTGAGGCAAACCATAATACTCTAAACATTGTCCTCCTAAAGATAAAACCGTACCTTCAATGGAAATCAGACACTTGTTGTACACTTCATTCATAATCTGAACACTGTCTTGACACTCTGACTGCACTTGACGTTTATGTCCTCCGACAGACTGTTTTTATATTTCTCCCATATACTTAAAGCGTCTGTTACTTTGCAAAATATCAACAAAATTGAGAACAGGTCTCGTAGCTTAAAAGGAGAATCAGTAAGAGCAGCTTCTTCCATTGTAGCATTCCACTGCTTGTCATCTTCTAGCAAACCCAAAGATTTACATGATTACTGGTATGTGGGATAAACGACACCATCAATAGTTTTTAAATCCGAGCATGATGTTGGCCCTCTCACTTGATGAAGAAGAAGACGAAGGTAGTAACATTCGGCGTTATTAGGGTGGACGGTGTAGCTTGATCTTTTTTGACTCCCGGCCAACCATCAACATTGTTTCCACGTTTTCGTCTCTCAAATTTAGTACTTTTCGACACATAGTATGAAGGGACTTCAACATAGAGAAGGGTTTTTGCAAAATTATCCGTTTTGCAAAGATCAAAAAATGCTAGAAGAGTAGTTTTCTGTGGATTATTTACCTTTTCAGTCACATTATTGAAGTCGTTAGGATTAAAATAGACACGCTGGCCATTTTCCAAGTGCACTGCGAGATGAAAAACAGCTAGAAATCTTTCATGTATAGGAAAGGCCAGGATTCTCCAAACAGCTTCAGAGCTGCTAATATATCGACCACTTTCATATAATTTGACCTCATCATTGTCATTTTCAAGACCAAATGAGGCTTGGTCGGATCCGTTATTGACGTATTTGCATATATATTTAATAGATTTTACAGAGTTACAATACTCGATGTTGATGTGAGCAGCAAAAGTTCGAGACAAAACTGGATTATACGGTACCACCCATCTATTAACTAGGGTTACACCATGGATTTTAACCGTGGATCCACCATCCGCGGGACCTCTTCGCCGATATTTATATATATAGCATCATAATCTCTTTCCACATTTAATTGCGTTACATCCTCTGGAAGTTGCTTTGATCATCTTAAAAAAAAAGCGTCTGACGAAGGAGAACTCGACGGGGATACGGTTAACAGCGTCCTAAATATGGTCTCTCCAGATTTCTCCCAAGATTATATGCAGCGCAACCTGAGGGTATGGACCGAGAATAGTATAGAGGGGGAGGTTACTTCGGACGCCTTACATACCATTGAGAGTTTGTCGACACCAGTTACGCCTTTGGCCTCCTCTCCATCGGTTCCTCTTCTTCAAATTCAGGGGGACCCCATTAAATCCATCCTCACTCTCATGCAGGATGTCGTTAACCAACAGCATCATCAAAGACATCCCATACGGCAATGGATGGGCAGGATTTCGGCAGACAATCCAGACTCGTGGGCCGAAATTGCCGAGGAAGCCTTGCTGTTATTTTTTCCATTTGACGAGAGAGCGAAGACAAGACCTGTGAAGGCCAAACCTCCTCCTGCTACTCCAAAGGTCTTAAATAAAAATCAGAAGAGGACAGCTGAATATAAGAAGATCCAGGATATTTACCAAAAAAATCGAAGACTCCTGGCAGATAAAATAGTTTCTGGAGAGCCCCTAGATGTACCCCCCGTATGGCCCTCAATGGAATCCGTCATGTTGGTCCACGGTCGAATGTTTCAATCTGCGTCTCCTCCTGATGACCACGCTTTTGTCCCTAAATCCTCTTCTCTTCTTCCGCAGGATTTCTCCCTTATTACTCCGGATGAGATCGCACAGTCGAAAAGGGGGTGGCCAAAATCAGCTCCCGGCAGCGATGGAGTAACGGTCTTGGCTGTGAATCGCTGCAGTAACAACCTGTTAGCGATACTATTTAACATCCTCTTAATTAGCAGGTACCAACCACTCGACTGGAGGCGGATGAGGACTGTCCTGATCCCAAAACCAGGAAAGAACAGATCCGACCCCACCAACTGGCGTCCCATCACGATAGGTTCTTCCGTCCAGCGTCTTTTTCATCGCACCCTTGCTCAACGCCTCACTAACATGACCAGTTTGAATCCCAACCAGCGGGGTTTCACGAAGACCGACGGTTGCCTTGCCAACTCCCTCGTGTTGGACAACATGGTCAACGATAGGACCCAAGCGAGGCTAGGTACGAGCGTGATGTCCATGGACCTGCGCAAAGCTTTCGATTCAGTATCGCATTTTTCTATTATGAGAGCTTTGCGTAGAGTACAGGCGCCTACCTACCTAATTGGGTATATAACAGCTACGCTCACTTCTTCCTCCACGGTGTTCAGCGTTGGCCATGAGGTTTCAGTCCCTGTTAACATCAATTCGGCAAGGTGACCCGATGAGTCCAATCTTGTTTAACCTAGTTTTGGACGAGCTGGTTGACGATCTCACTGCTTCGGATCTGGGATGTCCGATGGCAGGCGGGGTGCGATGCTCGGTGTTAGCGTTTGCTGACGACATCGTCTTGCTGGCGGAGAACGAAAAGAACCTGCAAGTGTTGGTAGACAAGTCGGTTAAGTTCTTTGGTTGCAGGGGCATGGAAGTCAATCCTACCAAGTGTCATGTGCTTGTGAAGAAGAGAATCAGGGACGCTGTCATACCGGTCACAAGGACCGACGTTAATATTCAGGGAAGAGCGGTGACGCACGTCTCGGACCTTAATCCACTTCGGTACCTTGGGTACAAGTACGGTAGCCAGGGCCAGCTGAAGCCATGCCTCACCAACTACCCAGTCTGGCTGCAGCGTTTAGTGGCGCTGCCATTGAAGCCGATGCAGAAGTTTTCGCTCCTGAAGGGTTTCCTTTTGCCCAGAATCCTTCACTCTCTGATGGGGACGAGGGTTACCAAGGACCTGTTGGGGAATTTAGACAGAATTAATCGGCAGTACACGAAAAAGATTCTTCACTTACATCTGCACACTTCTAATGAGCTTATCCACGCCCCCGTAAGGGAGGGCGGATTAGGAGTGTGCGAGTTGTCGATTTCCGTTCCCCAAATACTTCTGCGTAGGCTGGATGGTCTCAAGAATAGGGCGGCTGAAGATGTCGTGGTGTTGGCTATGCTGGCGTCGAGACGTATCGATGCATTCAGGATTCGACTTCGCAAGATGCTCGAACACTTTCCTGAGGGTGGCCACAAACAGTTAGTAAGGCAAGGTGTGTTTTCAAGGGGATTTACCGCTGCGAGCCAGGATTCGTCGTCGCGATCTTGGGTTGATACCAAGCCAGCCGGATGGAGCGCCGGGGATTGGGTACGGGCGATCCATTTGAGAACGGCAAACCTTCCAACGGTAGGTATTCCATCAAACCCCGTAGAACTTAGAGCATGTCGCGGTGGGTGTTCAGCCTATGAAACGATATGTCATATACTCCAAGCGTGCCCGGTGGCGCATGACGAACGTATATTTCGTCACGACGCCGTGGTGAAAAAAGTGGCGGCCCATTGTTCACGGCAGGGATGGAGAGTGGAAGAAGAACCGCGAGTCCGGCATGAGGACGGAACTCTCTATAAGCCGGACCTCGTAATCTTCAAATGTCCCACGCAAGCGGTGGTAGTCGACGCGCAGATCAGCTGGGAAACGGGCCCGTCCATGCTGCATATCTGGAACAAAAAGAAGGCGGTATATTGTAACGGCAAATTTTTGGCGGCCGCCAAGAAGAAATGGCCAGATACGGAGTTCTCATTCCACCCAGTCATCCTTGGAGCTAGGGGTATCTGGCCAGCTTGCAATTCTTCCACAGAGGCCGAACTGAACATCAAGGCAACCCTCAAGCGGAGCTGCGTGGCCTCCACGCTAAAGTGGGGCTGCTCAGCCCACAGGACGTTTATCAAGAGGGTTTGGAAGCTTCCATCCACGCAGCGCTTCCGGCAGGCCGCCAACAATATACCTACAACATCTAATTAGTTTCCATCCCCTTCTTTTTCTGTTCGTCGCTACTTTAACCGCCACTTACCACTCAAAAATTTCGTTCGCCACACGGGGAGCATCGCCTGGGGATCGCATTCTGGGGTGAGGACACTTCGGTTTCTGAGGCCTGGAGATCCCGTATGGACCCTCGGGATTGGTTTCCTACAACAAAAAGGGAGATTAGCAAGTCAACTGCATATACTGAGGAGCGCTTACCTGATTGACGACGATCCTGTGTGAGATCTAGCCGGGATGCCAACGGAGCGACGAACACTGAAACAAAGAAGCGTATTAGGATGTATTTTATAACTTTCTTAAACTATCTTAATTAAGAGCCTAACATCTACATCTTAATATTACTAATATCTTATTTACATCTTATTTACATCTTATTAGTAATCATCATATTTATCTATAATATCTTAAGAGCTAATACCATAACTTAATATCTAAGATAAATCTAAATTTTAATCCTAATTTACATACTAATTTACATCCTAATTTACATCTTAATTTACAACCTAATCTACATCTTAATTTACATCTTAATCTACATCTTAATTTACAACTTAATTTACATCTTAATCTACATCTTAATTTATATCCTAATTTAATTATATTATTTACATACTTACATCAACATCTTAATTAATAATATCTTAATCTTAAAGATTAATACTTTATAAGTAGTGTACTAAAACTAACATCTTAATTGTATTTTATATACAGTCCTCCCTGGAGGTTTTTCTTTATTAGGTACTATAAGTTAACAATGTACATTTATATAGGCCTAGAGATTTAAGAACACCTTTTTACTTGTTTTCTACGCTGTAATAGCATTTTAGCATACTTGAAAAACAAGAAACGCTTTATTTGTATTCCTGTTCGTGCATAATAAAGTTATTACTAGCCGTCGTCGCCTGTTTGGGTTTCTTTCAGGAGAATTCGAGGATATTTTTTGCTACAGCAACCTCCTTTCATACACGGGGATTTCCTCAAATTTCCGCAGGGCCCATGGATCATATTGGTTTTGATAATTTTATAAAGGATAGGATCCTTTTGAGGATCCGGTATCTCCGCACAGATAACATTATCTATATTAACCGCAGAAATTCGCTGCTCCAACCACAACAAAATGTGGATGTGTGGAAGACCTCGCTTCTGCCATTCAACGGAATACATAAAGCAACGCACTTTTCCAAACAAATTTCCTTTTGTTAGCAGTGACATAATTGCTTTAACTTTTAAATGAAATACCTGTGCTATAATGTCATGACGATCGTGTGGCTTTTGACCAGGCAGCAATGCATCTGCAATATCTTTCCATTGAGGATTGCATGTAAATGTGATGAAAAGGTCAGGGCGACCGTAATGGCGTACGTAGGTCATTGCATCTTGAGTTCTTTCATGCATATATCGAGGTGATCCAGTAAACGGTGAAGAGAGTACCACCCTATTACCAAGTTGAGTAATATCGGTGTCCTGCCTTCCTATCGCATCTTTCAAATGTACATAACTATCTGCTCTGAGGTATGCTTGGTTGTACCTGATATAATTCAATCTTTCCGTTTCTATTTTCGCATACATATCAACTAAATATTGACTAAAAAGAGTACGGTAGTATAACAATCGATTTTCGTCTTCTTCTCTAACCATGATGCGATATGAATAAAAATTTAGCGCCGATATGGTTTTTTGAAGAGATGTTTTTGTTTTAGGATCATATTGCGGTATGTCAATAGAGTAACCATCCTCACCATAACAAAATAGGAGTGGGTATTGCAGGGCGTCATATGAGCGGTGTAACTCGCTGATCCGATGCAATTTGTTATCGTGATTTTGTAAAACGATATCTCGCTTGTCGAACTGCTGTCCGACTATGACTAGAGCAACTTCACTCGTTGTCTGTGCATTATAACGGCCTATGTGAGCATTGGCTGGTTTTCTATCAGCGTGAATAACGACTTCAAATTTTTCACAATCTTCGGGTACTTTTTGAAGAGTTGTTTTCAGGTCCCTTATATATGAATTTTTCTCGTGCAACATCGCTTGCAGTTGTTTGACCAGATTTGGTTTCACACCAGAGAAATTGCTGCATCTCAAATTTGCCTCTCTCTCGTCTTCACCAATGAAGTAAATTTGAAGAAATTGAGGATCTTGTTGGGGCAAGGGTAATAAGCTATCAACCAAATGATAAACCTGTCCCTGTACTTTAAACGTGGGCATAAAACCATCTTCCATTATTTTCTTAGCTCCAAAGGACGTCACCTGAAAGCAACTGTTATACTTTCTAATACCATCCATAAAATGAACCTGCTCTGGATGAAGACCCATAATCAAGCTGTGAAGAGGCTCTGGCAAGGGTTTAAATGTTGGAAGTTGCACTTTACCACCGGCGCAACACATGCCAGGAGCTTCTTCTTTCCACTTATAAGCAAGACAATGTATGCATTTGTGAGTCATAGCACCTAGGGCAACAGTTTTATCAGTTTCATAAGCTAATTCAAGATCATACATCATTCCAGACAAAGCTTTAACTTTCCACTGAAGCAAATTTCATGCCTAAAAACACTTGCTCTATGAACATCTGGATTATTTTGCTGGTAAGTCATCACTGCAGCGCGGTGAGCCTTATAACCTCTTATCTTCTTTTTACGCCGGTGCTACTTTCGGAGAGCGGGTCCTTCTCGTGGTGTTTGCACTTACCTTGGATTCAACTTCGTTGCTAAACTCTTCCTAACCAAAAATAATAGGGCGCCACTCAGTCGTTATGGTGGAAAGGAGGGTTGGGGGGAGTGAGACCACCCAACTTCACCAATGCTCTTTTTATTTAATATAAAATAAATTAAATCGACTAATTAGGTACATTATAAAAAAACTATGACTTGAAATCAAAAAAATGTGGTGGGCAGGAGTTCGGTTGGTTGTAGCGTTTAGCAGTCCATGAACGCGGTTAATTTACCTCCAGGTTGGCGGTTCGACAGACTTACCAGGATGACAGGATGACACCTCTCCTTGACACTAACTTTTCACCCCTTTTTCGTGAACAACGACACCCCAAAACTTCCGTGTCTTTTTCTCTCGACCTTCTCTCGTCGCCGTCTCCAAACCCCAAAAACCACGCTCTTCTCGAACCTTCCATCTCCTACCCCCCTACTCTCTAAATGCGCGCGCTATTTAAATCGTGGTAACATTTTCATGTTACACTACCCCCCTCCTAAAAGAAAAAAATATATGACGTACAACGAATATATTTTTTAACAAAAAGAAAATTCCGGAAAAACCTCTAATGAAATAAAATTGCAACACCTTATTACAAAAAAATATGTTGTCGGGAACACTTTCGCTTTCGTCTTTATAATTGGGTAACTGCGCGTACCGAACGGTTAATAACACAACGGGTATTAACTGAAAGTCATATGAATGACGCGGTAAAATGAAATGTTACAGCCGGGAAAAGTCACAAATTGGGTAGGTCGCAAATCGGGTTTCGAAAATCATTCCAACAATGAAAACAAAAAGGAAAGAAAGAGAAAAGAAAAAAAAAACTAAACTGAAAATTGAAAGTTAACAAACCGAAACTAAAACTACTAACCTTGGGACTCGACGTCGGAATCTTCGGCCGACATAAAGGGTTTCAAGTCCTTTATGTGCCAAACACCTATATTTGCGTTGGATTCATCCACCAGCTCATAAGCAAGCTTAGACAACTTTCTCCGTACCGTACACGGAACATAACGCGGTGCTAGTTTCTGGGCGAACGCTTTGGATGCGTTGGACAGTACTTTATTCCGTTTCCACACTCGATCACCGACAAAGAATTCAACATCGCGCTTCCGTAAATTGTACGTTCTGCTGTTCCTAACATAAGCCTTATTCAAGCGCTTCATGACCCCCTGAAAAATACTTTGAAGACTCTCCAAGTCCCTAGCGTACTTCTCCCGGTCGTATGCTGTAAGAATATCGGGTTTGGTATAGACTTTCCCGTAAAATTCTCCGGTACACGGGACCACGCGTCCGAAATTTAAAAACGCTGCACTGAAACCAGTAATTTCACTAACAGCGGTTCTAATGGCATATCCGATCTTCGCTATCTCGGCATCCCAGTTTTCGTGGTTACCCTTAATATAGCATCGAATCGCCGTCCCTATCACACGGTTGTAGCGCTCCACAGGGTTTGCTTGTGGATGATACTTGGCTGTAAACCAGATTTTTTGGACTTTATACTCCTTACAAACTCTAACAAAATTCTTTCCGATAAACTGCTTACCGTTATCTACCAATATGAATTGTGGTACTCCATATACTAAAAAGACTTCGTTTTCTAAAAAATTCACAATGCTAGGACTATTAGCTTTTCTAAGAGGACACATGACGACGTATTTAGAGAACCAATCCACTATTACGAACAAGTACGTGAATCCCTTCTTCGATCTTGGAAGTGGCCCAATTAAATCGACTGAGATAATTTGCCAAGGAAACTGAACGATCTTTTCTTTCCCCATAATCCCCGGACGACTTACATTTGGAGCTTTCTGAGCGCTGCAAACTTGACAACTCAAAACGTACTTACGCACGTCTCTATGGACTTTCGGCCAATAATAATGGATCTTAAGTCTCGATAGGGTCTTAAAATAGCCTAAATGAGAAGAAGTGGGCTCATCGTGACATAATCGCAATACCTTAACGCGTTGACTTTCTGGAACGAATAATTTCCACTCTGGGACATTGCTTGTCAGATTGATTTTGTTTGGAAAATATTTAAAAATAAATTTACCCTCGACTTTCCATGATAAGTATTTCTGCGGATCGCCAAGAATGGTCTTTCGGATAGTGGCGTACGCTTCTTCAGTATCATCCACGGTCACATCTAAATAGGTATCGGTATCGACAGAACTAATTTCGGCGGGAAGACGCGATAACGCATCCGGAACAACATTCAAACATCCTTTCCGGTGTACTAAGTCAAACGAGAACTGGTTTAGCCTAACGCTCCACCGAGCTAGTTTACCGACGGGGTCCTTCATTTTTTTCAGCCATAACAAGGAATAGTGATCAGTTATCACGGTGAAATGTACTCCTTCAACATAAGGGCGGAATTTTTCTAACGCAAAAACCACGGCAAGGCATTCACGTTCGGTCACGCTGTAATTGTGTTCCGTTTTACTTAATGATCGACTGGCGTAAGCTATAACCTTTTCTTGGTCTTCGATGGTTTGGGTAAGCAAACCGCCCAAACCCGTATCTGAAGCATCGGTATGGATCGTAAAAGGTTCAGAGAAATTTGGACTGGCTAAAACAGGAGCTGATACGAGCGCTTCTTTAAGCTTACGGAAAGAGAGGTCAGCGTCTTCATCCCACTCGACTTTTTGACGTTTGCGCTTTCCCTTTAATAAACAATTCAACGGCGCTATCAACGACGAAAAATGCGGCACGAAGCGGCGGTACCAGGAACACATTCCTACAAATCGCTTTATTTCAGTAGACGTTTTCGGCACCGGATAATTGGCCATACTCTCCACCTTTTCGGGATTTGTACGGAGCCCTTGCTGGTCCACTATAAAACCCAGATATTTTAAAGACGGACGAAAAAATTTACACTTGTCTAGGTTAATCGAAAGATTCGCCTTCGACAGACGTCTCGCTACGTCGCGTAGTACGGACAAGTGCTCGTCAAACGTCTTCGACAATATAATTAGGTCATCTAAGTATACGAAAACTTGCGGCTCTAGTTCTGGACCGAATAATTCATCCATTAGCCTTTGCAAAGCTTGAGCTGCATTAGTGAGCCCGAAAGGCATCACCGTAAAATGGAAAAGACCACGCCCTGGTACGGCGAATGCTGTTTTTGGTTTCGACGATTCTTCCAACGGTATTTGCCAAAACGCTTGTTTCAAATCTACCGAACTGATATATTTCGCGTCACCTAGCATGCTCAATATCCTATCTACTAAAGGCAAAGGATAATTATCCCGCACGGTAACCGAATTTAACTTTCGTCCATCAAAACATACTCTAAATTCCCCAGTAGGTTTTTTAACTAAAGGAATCGGAGAGGACCATGAACTATTCGAAGGCTCTATAACCTTAAGCTTCAAGATTTTATCAATCTCACGATTCAATTCCGATAACATATACGGAGACCACCAAAACTGTCTCTGCTTGAAGGGAGGCGCGTTTCCGGTGTCAATACGGTGTGGACTAACTGTAGCTCGACTCAGTTGATCGGTGTAATTAAACTTTTTAAATTCCCCTATTACTTCTTTTATTTTCTTTCGACTATCCGCATCAAAATCCGTAGATATTAACTGATCGATATCCGAATTTAACTCTGTTGATGCTTCTACTGCACCTACGTGCGATACTTTTGGCTGCTTTCGACCATTATTTAAACCCGCACTTGAAATTTCATAAGAAAATGTTCGAAAGTCCAACTTTAACGCAAAAAGTCTACAAAAATCACTCCCCAAAACTATTTTATGTATCAAATCAGGTACTACATAGAAGAAAATTTTATGACGCCTTCCTTGCAACCCAATCTCCAGTTCCACTGCGCTTGCAACACAGTGAGATTTTCCATCTGCGGTGATCACGGCCTTTAGCTTGGAAGGAACCATATTTATATGACATACAGTCACGTTCCGCAGACCACATTTGTAACAAAATTTCACGCGCTTGGCCACACAATTGCGGTAGCTATGATTTAGTTGTCGGCAATTCCAACAGATTAATAGGGTCCTCCGCGGATCTTCCTTGCCTTGTTTCACTTCACCCTCACCGAAAGGTTGTACATCTGCCCTCGAAGGGACCACAAAATTAGAAATTTTCTCGTTACTAGATTTTTCCTTAAACGTATCCCGAACAGGTTGTGTTTGTACACCAGCCAACTCGGCTTCCAACAAACACGACTGTCGACACGGAACCTTAGATCTCTGTCTCAAACTAAGCATCTGCTCGATTTTCTTACCGATCTTAATTAATTCATCTAACGTTTTTGCCTCCGCGATCTCTAAATGATTCAAATATGCTAAACCTAGATTTCTTTGGATTACTTTGACTTTAGTGATTTCTAACGGAGCACGCGAAAGGCGCGAGAAAAGTGTTTCCATCACTGCTACGTAAATTGATATGGACTCGCCCTTGCTCTGCATTCTATTTTTAATATCATCCCATAAAATATCGTCACAATCACTAGGAAGAAATTCTTGCTTGATCGCGTTCACTAACGAATCCCAATCTACGTATTTATGCCTAACAGCTCGATACCATAATAACGCTTTTCCGCTAAACAAATCAACTGCTGAGTTATACAAATCATCCTTAGTGGCATGTCGGGCCTGACACAACTCGTCAACACGTTCAAGAAATTGATTAACCCCTACACCTTGGGCTTCACCGCTAAACGAAATCCCCCACTTGTAAATTGGTACTAATTTAGTATTGACAACTGGTGGAAGCGAAGGAACTACTGACGGAAAAATAACGGGAGCAACCGGAGAAGACACTTGCGGCGATGC